AATATTAAAATAATTAGACTGATCATTAATAATAAATCGATAAAAATATACATGTTCGAGGAACATCGATATTAATCGTTAACTACATGTTCGCATCACTAGCAACAGTTTATCATCGGGTGCGCTGATCAATGACAGCAAAACTTTCTTCTTCAAACACTTGACGTGCGGACGATGCAATATATGAAATAAAGGTTGAACGTTTAATTTCACTTTATACCTATTTTCTCGATAAAACGAGTTTTAACAAGGAAACTGATTATAGCTTCGATCAGTGCCCGTGTGGCGACGTGATCTTTAACCCCAGAAACGCTGTAAAATACGGTGATTAAATATATCGCATTCGATGGTCATTTTAAATGTTCTAGAAACTTTCATGTGTTAAAGAAATTGTCTATTTAAGGGATATGATTATTATACGCGATCTCTTTACAATTTCAGAGAACACCTTATGAAAAAGACAATTAATAAAATCGTTTAACAATTCCAATTTTAAACTAACAACCGCCAGGCAGTATCGCTACTTTAACAAATAAAAATAAAAAGTCTAGAAAGCAAATCTATTGGAAAATACTCTACATTTAGAATACACAATGGCTTTCCTTGAGATTAGTGTTCAAGCCTTAGTTCCGTCGAACCTTGGACCATGAACTTGTTGATAGTGGTCACTTTCCTGCATCTATTGTTCTAAGAGAAAATCTATTACTCGCAATAGAAATTGGAAAATCTTCGCTGATTTAGAATTTACTTCTAATCTTTATTATACAGATCAAAGAAGTTCTTTGACAGAATTACTTTCTTACTGAAAAAGAGTTTGTATTTTAAGTCATGAAATCATTTCAATAATATCATGACTATTGAAAAGTTTTAAATTGAGTTTATGGTCGTATTCTCTTCGGCCTGTGCTAAAGCTGCTTTCTATAAATCTTCTCGGCCTGTGCCACTACCAAAGTTGTCTATTATAAATTCTATTTCTTCTATTTAATTCTTTATTGTTTTATTCCTTAGTATTGTACTCGTAAGTCTCGCTACTTATATTTCCTTGTTTACTTACGCTACCATAACGAATGTTAAGTTCATCCATTGAACCCTGGCTACCATGTAATCCGTCTGAATCACTTATCACAAAAACTACATTAAGCGATACCAATTCTTCTCGCCCTCCGAATTTGTCACGGTTACACGAAATTATACCTTTTCGTTGTCTGTAATCATCGTCATTAACAGTCATATTTGCTTTTAAATTGTATCATTTTTCAAAAATATTGTTCGTTATTTGTTCCTTCATCAGTAACGTTTTTGTATGAAAATGAATTGCTTTATCCTCTGGTTTCCCACGCGTTTTTATGACTGAATCAGTTTGTCAACATCTACCCTAAGTACTTAATTTTGCTATGTAGGTCAGAATGTAAATACGCATACTAAATTGATGACAAAAGTTTAAACTTCACACTCTTCATACTAGTTAAGAGTAGAGAAGTTTTAAATCTTTCATAGAGATTGAAGTGTCATTGTAACAAAGAATTTGATTTGCTATTTTCTTCTATAACATAATTAACCAGATTCATATCATTTTTCAATCTTGATTTAAGTCTAATCCAGTTAGTTCTGATCCAAAACTCAATTTCCAACTTTATTTGAATCACTAGGAAATCAAAACTGATCGTCAGACCCATGCGTGCCTCATTACCGACCAAACCAACTTGTGTTCTAATCAAACTAGTGTATAATTATCATGGCATTCCAAAGTAAGCACCCAACATAGTCCAGTATATCGTGACTGCGCCTAATGACGAAATAATACATAATTGAATTAGATAACGGAACAATATCAGTCAGTACAAGACAGTACATTTCATTAAAACAATTGACATAACCTTGTATAGTCACGAATGTCCTTAATCTCAGAAGGCTTGTAGGTGTTCCACGGGTCAGAAGACTTAATGACAAAATTAATCGGTTTTCTTATCTTTTAAGGTAGGTTTTACGTCAAATTTTAAATGAAAACATGGGGTAGCAATCTCAATGTGGAAATTTTCATTTTCATTATCAATTTTGCTATATTTTTTTATGAGATAGATCGGCAAACGATCAGAATTATTGCCTGATGGTAAGCAATCAGCACAGCCCATGGACACCCGCAGCACTAAAGGAATTATAAGTACATTTAGGAATGGATGGGGAAAGGAAGGAGAAGGGATTGGAAACCTCCGGTAATCTCACTCACACTGCGAAATTCAACTTTGTAGTTGTGTCACGCCGGTTTTCTTCAAATCATGCCGAAACTTGGCTCTCCCACACTAGATAATATAAAATATTTGTTTTAAAGGTACATTATAAAGTAAGTTCTAATATAAAATCATCAAATCAAAGCGAGGGCGGTACGCATGCGCGAGAAATGACACAGTAGCCGGTGACGGGGCACGCGCCTGTGCACGCCAAGGTCGCCGTTCACCGCTCAACTCTTGCGCATAGTGGTTCGACGACCGATCTTTCAATATTATGATTTAATTAATTTTATAAATTTACTTCTTATTTAATTATAAAGGTATTTTTAAACGTCTATTAGGCTTTAGTAACTTTAGTATTTTCTAATACAATAGATACAATCAACTCCAATCTCAAATTTTCATCGTAAAATTCACAAGTTCAACAAAACAATGTAGGGACTTTTACCTTAAAAATTTGAATGCCGTAAGTAACACCTCGAAATAATATTTCGCTTTAAAATTACATTTAAATGGAACAAAACATTGGTTGAATACATAAACAGATACCTACAATAACCTCAGTATCATACTTACTATGACTATAAAAGGCTTTCAAAAGAATTCTTCCGAAAAACTCGTTTTTAAATTCAATTTACATCGACCACATGGACGATCACAATGAAGTGAAATTCATTGATAAAGATAAAATACTGGGACGGGTGCTATTATTCCTCAAAGAGGTAGGCAGAGATGTTTTAAATGTAACGATAAAACCCTAGTCTGACACCAAAAATAAAAAATCCAATATTCTTAATATTCACTTACCATAATTTTATTACGAATTAATTTCATACTACTACTACCTTATTTGATGGTTGATGACAGGGAGTGAAAATCTATGTCGTCCTTCTTAATTAAAACAATACTTAGATAAAATGAGTTTAAGTTTCGGAGGAGAGGAGTGGAGGTCAACCCTATATTATATTGTAGTTTTTGGGAGGTCATCGTCAATACGTCACCGTAATTATAAAATCTACTATATCGTGAAATGACATGATATTTTAAATCAATATTTAGTCGAAAGTATTTAAATCGGTTACAAAAGAAAACTACGTCTGAATAATGCAAAACTTATTCCACCATACGAAATTTTTATCATTTAGTTCGAATCAATAAATCTTAATAATTGTCCTTAACAGCATGCTCACTATCACTAAATCATTTAAACTTACCAACGAAGTTACGAACTTTTAACACAAGTACATCTGTCGTAAACCTTTTCCAATGTCACCGTGTAAAACATAATAATTAAAAACTATAGTAGCTATCATGTTCATAGTTTGTATCACTCATAAAGGCACTTGACCTAAATCTCTTTTCTCAAACACGCTATCTTAGGAAGGTCAAATGAAAATATATGTTTATTGAAAAATGACATAGTGTCTGACCACGTTCTGTTAACACCATGCTATTGTATGCTACTGAGTTATCACCTTCAATTATACCTATGTATGTCAATATCAAGATAGAGAATAATTTTATAGAAAAAATGTTTCCAACAATAGCCGTGGAAATGGTATCGATAGTGAATGTAGCAAAAAATGATCTTGAGGCTCTAAGGTTTCCTGCAGTTCTATTTGTAGATCGTGACAATGTCAAGAAAGGTGGTAGCTTAATTCTGAATACGGTTCCTAAGTCTAAGCTGTGTTATTGAGTTGTTGAAAGTTTTTAGTAAGTAAATAGATTTTGATGACAATGTAAAATAACCCAATCGAAACCTTTAGACGTAAAGGGATGTTATGCCTATTTGAATAGACTCTGATAATACAATTTAACACGCTCTTCCAAACAAACACAAGGAAGAAATTCCTTGACAAATACCAAACCACACCGTCACCATTTCTATATACTTTAAAATCATAAAGCGTCCCCATCTTTCACTTTCCATGACAAATAATGGAATATAAATTCTTGGTGCGAAACTACCTAACACGTTTTCTTTGCTGTCGTTCAAACCACCATCAAAGCTAATCGTTTCACCCATTGCATAGAAAACAACATAAACCCAAAGAATCAAATAGAAATTCCCGATCAGTAAACAAAAGCAGGCATTGGTAACAATCTTGAATACCAATTTAAAGTCAATGTGTACATTCTCAGGACAATGCCAAGGAACGGTTTTGAGAAAACGATATTCCGATAGTACGTTTACAAAATACAAATGAAGTACAAATTCCTATGTCGTCATTATTCAATTCGACACATGAGAACCAAGTGTCGGACTAGATTTTGTATAAAAAACGCATAAATTTGTAATCGACTATGTATTCCATGTTGATAAACCTGGGTATTCATTGCAGTCCTCAGTCTTGTCAAAGAAACGAAAATAAATATCGTAGTGCGTAATAAAACAATGATTTTTCTGATAAAAATGCAATTCCAAGAAACCCACCCACTGTAAAAATCAGTATAATGAATGATTCTATAAAAAAACACGTAAATAATGTTTGCGGTTGCCAATGGCTATAAACAATGCAATTTTATTTATTAAAATTGCTTTTTACTTATTCAACATTATTCTAAAACATCCTCCTTTGGCAAAGACCCAACTATGTAAAAATCATCGCTTGAAAAAATATAGATCGTGTATGCTGCATACAAATCACGTACTTGTGCAGTCGCATCTTATGTTGTGTTTTGTATATCTGAATAAAACTTTGGAAGGTAAAGAAATTATACTTACTATAAGTTAACAATTTTTATCTAATGTATTCGTTTCTTCTTTTCCAGAATCGGTCTTTGCGGATTTGATAACCCACACAGAGATCAGAAAACAGAAGAAGTTAGAAGACACATAGGACAGGTGAGTTTTTTCATAAACTTAATAAAAAATCTTACGACACGCCTTAGACATTGAAGTCTTCTTCAAAATACAGGCACGTACATATATGGCAAATGGTTCATAATGTGTATATAAATCTCGGCGAGATAACTATCTTAGATCTTGGATAAGTCGACGTAGAACTAATACTAATGATGCAGCCACGCATGACACTGATACACCGTCAACTGATGAGCGTTGACACCTACACTAAAAACTTTGATGAGCTCACGACCAAATAGGAAAATGCAGAACTTTACGACCTGAACGAATCAGATGTTTTAGCAAGCGTTCAAATCTATAATCACAACGATTAAAATATTATTAAAAATCTAGTAATACTAGGAACAGGTATTTTGCTGAAATAAGCAAAGACCTTGATGATATTACTTGTCAACATAAATTAAACGCAGGCAAAATTCAAAGGTTTCAATCTTATTTCTAATCTACCTGCCGTGTTGCTTTTCGTTATTAGATGCAAAATGAAGGCAACATAAAAAATAATAGAAGGAACTATATTGTCAATCATAGGTCCCATCAAATTACCAGTGGAACAAAAAAAATTGACAGCTGATCAAGACAATGAATTCAAACAGAAACAATACGTAGTCGTTCACAGGGCAATAATGTAGGAAGTGATGGAGAAGAACGGTTTAACATTCAAACGAACATGTTTATAACTATGGAAAATAAATATCATGAACCAAACAATAGAATCAAAATACTTGATATACAAATGAGATGCGGTATCGAGCTGTCAAAGACAAGGTTACTGCAGATGATGTACTTGTAATATATGTACAAGCACCAACTACTGGCACGTATGGCCTAAAAACCGAAAATGACAAACAAAATGCAGCAATAAAGAGTCTGTAACTCGTTCTTTACTTCTGTTTTAATAATTTAAATTGGTAGGTAAAGGCGTATTGCAACAAAAACAGTCTAAACCAAATCCAAATTATATTCGCTGAAATAAATCTAATTTTATGAATCACCTTGAAAGCTTAGAACATAATGTAATTACTATCATTACTGTTAGCTCGATTGATCATATACACAATAAAGTATACAATTGTGATCACAAACATGAGTAAGGCCGGGAGCTTAATGAGAAAAATCACAATGATCAACCATCTCTTATTATCCGTGTCTAACTATGTACTTGAAACAAATGAAATAAATATACAAATAGTCATGAGGTCAGACGCAAGAATGATCTGCATGTATCCGGCCTAATTTGGAATGAAGGAGATTGATTCGATACAGTGTTACTTGATTACAAAACAGACAAATTATAGTGAGACGAATCATTATGTGCTGTCGGCGGATAAACCTGTCACTGCTTAAGCAAAAATTTGATCTTTAACCTTTGCTATTGTTGTTACATCGTGTGTTCAAACCGCATATGAGTCTCGGTGAAGAGTTTTTGTCTGAGGTGTTTTCTTGAGTTATGTTTTAAGAATTGATTTTGGGAAAATTTGTCATATTATATAACATATCCATTTTTTCCACACAAAAAAAATATCATATCCTATAGAAAACCCGGTTCCAAAACAATTCATACTCATGTCATCGACATCGCCCGACGCCATTTACGGACCCAAACAAACTATTGAGATTAATTCTCTTAAAATTTGTTCACTCAACTGTTAACACGATAAACTTAACTCTAGCCTACCTCTCCACTAAAACGGTAACGATATACACAAAGCCACTGACTAGCATGAATTATCAACGGCTGGCTGATCAAAAGGAATTCGGTTCTACCGCGCGACAATTATATGCGTTTCGTCAATCCACATGCAACTTCCCACTACCGGCTGGATTACTTATGTTAATTTATTCCTTCATTGAATATATGGAGGAAATGTATCAGACTATAAGGAAACGTGAACTATTCTCTAATGCCTACACAATAGATAGGATTAACTAACAGATATACTTAAAAGATGTGTTGTTAGAACAAGATTATAAATTTGGAAATGTCAAGAGAACCAATAAAGTTATTTTTCCTTTCTTTAAAACCAGTAATAGTAGTCTATAAGTCTATTAATTCATTACAATTCAATTTTATTGTTTGGCAATAATACAAATGTCTGCAATGTTCAAAATTGTTAACAATTCAATCACTAATACATATATAACATAAATAACTATCTAAACCTAGGATTGCTATTTACGTTTGCATTATATAATTTTTTGTTTTATATTTACAAATCAGGCAATCCATCTCCTAAGCCAAAACTTACCAAGACATAATTCAAAATATCTATTAACATAAACACTTCAATAACATAATTGTTTTTTGCTTTAAACGTGACGCTACATAAAATAAAAAGATCCCTTCCATCATAAAAATAAATAAGGAAGCAGCATTTAACAAAACATTATATGCAGAAAATCCTAAATGAAATAACAAAAAGAGTTAAAACACTAATGATATTAAACAAAACGTAGTAGAGGAGGAAGCGTCAAACTCATTACATATTCCAACAAGATTTCTATCAGTACAAACGTAACGTAATTCGTGTATTAAGGCATTCGCTTTCAGTATCTTTCCAAATGACAAGGTCGCCTAAAGGTTACCTGTCATGGATCTAATTTTTTACGAAAACATAGGTACTTACTGATAATACTTATTTCAGTTTATTTTTCAAAATATGCCGTGTCAATTAAATTCAAATTCGTATTTGTTGTTCAAAAGTAAAAATGTTAATATCTTTACGTGTATTTGTATATTGATGGGTACTTTTAATATTCTTTGAATTCAAACCCTAGTTGCTGATGCCATACTTCAATTCACAATACCTTTTTTTAGAAAAGCAAGTTTACTACCCAGACCATTTCGAAAATCAGTTGAAGCAACGTGAAACCTTCAAATTGTTAGCATTAAGAAATCAATTGCAACATTAATAAAGATCATTATGCAAACCATATATGCAAAGTACTTTATTCATCATCTATTAATCATGCAGAAACAAAAAAAACATCTATTGTAGTACTGTACAAATTATAAAAAACTATTCTCACACGTTTAACACTAATTGATTTTGATTTTACGCCATTTTTTACTTTAAAGTATCCTTAAGACCCTATCTTCCGCGTACTTCTTCTAATGCTTTGAAATGCACCTAGAGTTCGCTAAGTTCATGATGTCATAGGTCAGATTGGTCCCAATACTATTGTTGAGAAGCTTTGTCTTGTCATTAATCATCAGGTGATGAATGGTGGAAGTAAAAACTGTGGCAAAGGCAATGACCTTGCTGATGGTAGATAAGGGAACGATTTTGAATTATGATATCATAATTTTATAAGTGAAGACAGTATTGTTATGGAGGTGATTGTCCTAACTGATTAACAAAAAAATCTGTTTGAAATTAGTATACCAGAAAAACGTCTCTCTTGAGCATCTTTCGTTCAATACCACAACAAAGCGATTGCATCCACAACTCTCCCGTCACTAGGAACGAAATTTCATAAACTTTGCTTGCTTAAGACTAATTAATTAATTAACATTATATTACGATAGTTAATTCACTTGGTAAGTGGAACGATCACGACGATATCACATAAATAGTTTAAGTATTGGTTTATGAAATGTTTCTTGAAGCTGACACGAAAGAAACCTTTGATTCATCATTAGAAGAAGCATGTTTAAAATCTAGAAATGGACTGGTAATATTAACAACATGTGGATTTTTCACAGGAGAACATTATTCTGAATCACATTCACTTTTCATTCGAGCTCTAAATTTGAGTGTTCAATTTCGTGGCATCCGGCTGATACAATCTTTAAACGTCAGTCAGAGACATCCTTGTACTAAGGTTACTTACTTAGTAAAGATCTGGCATTATGCCATTCTGACAATTAGGATTCCTACATAAGGCACATTAAAATGATCAAAGTTTATTAATTTTTGTTAAGTTCAATTTAACACTAAATTAATCAATAGCAATTGATCATTTAAATAATTTGTAAAAATGTAAAAAAATTAAAAAAGAATAATAAATACAAGGTTGAATTCGATGCAAACGAAACTAATAGGGAAGTGAAGGAAAAGAAGCGTAGGTTCTAGTATGACAATATGTTTGCTGCAAATAGTACGTTACAATATATAGCTTTGTACGCAAACCGCAAAAGTAAACGATGTTGTTACATACTTTGAACAAACGAAACCTTGATACCATTATATTAAAAGCACATAGAATTGCGCATTGCTCCATGGAAATTGCTATAATTATTTAAGTTATATATTTGGTTTCGTAATTCCACACAAACCTAATGAGTCAATAAATTGAAATCATTGGTAAAACGAATGTTTAAAGTCAACACGACAACAAATATTGATACATTTACATTATGTAAAGAAAAAACTAAGCGAAGTTGTTGATAGATTTGCAAATAAATAAGAACATGCATAATTATTAATATTGCTTTTCCTTGTCAACAGGGTGTCAAAATTAAAATGGACGACGCCGGTAATATACTCATCAGACGCTATTCCAAGAGTAGTGTGTTTGTGAAGAGTACGGCAGCCACTAGCAACGAAGAGACGGCTATTGGGCAAGATATAGTCAAGCTACCTGGATATGCATTGGAACAAGAGAAAATATTTAAGGTAAGAACAATTACATTCTTAAGAAGTCGGTCTAAAATGTCCAAAACAGATAATACAATTTATGACACGAAATATCAATCCAGCCACTGTAAAGAAAATGAATAGCCAAAAAGAACTTTAAAGACAATGTAATCGGAGGCATATTTTTCTTTTTCCTTATTCTTCAAACAGCTATTAAACAAATATTTACAAAATTTCCAGACATAGCATTAACATATTAATAAAAACAAACAAAAACCATATAATAAAAGAGTTTATAATATTAAACAAAACCATTTATCAAATAACGAAAAAAAACTTTTATGGACATCATTATCTTAAGTGTTACAAATATCGCGGCTTAACAATTTATAACAAAAACGTTAATGCCGCCGGACTAAAAAACTGAAACAACGATGTTAAATCGTTGAACGATAAAAATGTAACGCTTCCTTTAACACCAACTCAGAAAATCAATGAACTTAAGTGAAGTGATTAAGAAATAAAGCAAAGTATTCTATGTTATAAACGGTTTGTAAAATGTCTTCAGAAAACAGTCTAATTAGTTTAGCCAATCTATATCTATATACAATATAAAAATGAACCGCATAATGAGTTGGTAAGCGCATGACTTTCCAACGATTTTACCAATTTACCTTTTAATTTCTTGGTATGTTTGTAATTGTGAGGAAAAGGTTCTTATGAAAGTTATTTTTTTCTAAAGTAGAGGGGAGAGTTGGGAAATTGGAACCCTTTCGTCGTTAGCGAAGTAATTGGAAACCCGTACGATACCTATGGGCCGCTAGTTCTAGACAAAAAGAGGAGGTAAACAAACAATCTACATACACAACATTTATAAGTATAAAACCTCTAAGGAAAATATATGTTTTTGTAAAGCAAAAAAAGTAACTTTGGGTAGACTTGTTCCGATAGAATCTAAACCACAATAATTAGTTCCAAGTCCAATAGGTGCATCTAATTACACGTTAGTCATCCTTCCTCTTGCACCAGCCATGTTATTTACAAAATTAACGTCCAACGAAATCAAATCACAATTCTAGCCTTTACTATTGAAATATAAGTTTTTAAAATCTAATTTATGGGAAGGCAAGGTAAACTGGTTCTCTAGTAACATACCAAACAAGCGTCAGAAGAAGTTATTTCCGTCAAGATGGATGCGTTTATGAAATATAATGTCGTAACATTTGCCTATTAATTTCATGGTTGCCCACGTAATGATCTAAATTGCTTACAAGATCATCGGCCTGAGGTTCTCTAAAAATTACTTGTTTGGTATCTCAAACATTGATTACTTGTGTTCCTTTCTTTTGTGCACGTTAGCCTTATGTCGAACGATTAAAATTATTCACTCACGTCTTTTGATGCATGGTCACACACAATAGGCCGCTATTGTTCGACTATTACTTCATCTTTCGCTGCTTCTGCCTCCATAATTTCCTTATGTTCGTCGTTATTAAAGACAATAATCATCATAGAAAAAAAATTAAGAGGCCGAAGCATTACTCTAATGCGCGTTGCGTTAGTGCATCAGTCATTTGTGGTGCATCACGACTGCACAGATTGTGTCCGAGCACGATTCTCTCGGACCATGACATTGCCACGTAATTTCATTTACCAACATTTCAATGTTATGAAATAATTTCTCAACTATGCTCTTTGTGGACGTATTTTTTGTTAAAATACATAAAAGACAAACTGTGTGAATTGAATTCCAAGTTCATAAAAATAGACTTATATTTATGAAGTGCACGTTTCTATTATTTGTAAGACGATAGGCTTGTAGAATTGTAGATTAGTAACGAGAATACCATTCAAGTACAGGCCATGACATTTGTAAATACGGTTAATGACAAAGCGAACGCAAATGTGAATATAATAACAGGCTTCGACCACAAATTAGTTAGTGAAGCTATTAGGCGTACTAATACAAATACTTTCCTTACATCTGACACGATGTAAGTAGAAGACAATGGAAAATTCACTTCCTCGTATCCGAAAGATTCATTACCAATTCATACTCCATTACCTACAAGATTTTACGTAATTCTGTAGCGAACAATGAGAGAAGATAGCACTATTAAGCAAGGGAAGGAATGGTCATTGCCTCACTTATTTGTTTGAATGTTATTCTATTTCCTTGGGAGTAACGAAAGCGAATTTGCAGAAAGTAAACCATTGTCCGTGCGCAACGCATCGCCGAAACAATACGATGCTTCAATTAACGGCTATTGTGAGAAATATTACATCTTAAAATTATATTATTTGGCACATTGGACTCTTTGTAACGTTGGTGTTACGCCTAAAACTTAAGAGAATTTATCGAAGAAAGGCTCTGAAATATAAAGTGTTTTCTAAAATATCAAACAAAATCCAAGACGAAATTCATTCCCAAGCTACAAAATTCTTCATAGAATAAATAATTAAAACGTCCAGAGGTCTTGATAGGTCACCCTCTGACTCGCTGCACTATTGCACCGCAATGTACGTCTTCATTAAAAGACTCTAATTTCCTCGAAACAATACCGTAAAATGTTGAAACCGGTTGATCTCTGGGATTTTTTCCGAGCTCAACTCGTTTCCCACACCGAATTCCCTTGTGACTAAATTAATATAAAACAATACTATCAGTAGTGTCAACCGCAGTTTTTAAGTGGAACTAGACTACTTCCAAAGTATAATAAAGTTGGAATTATTCTCAACCATTTGGCATTCGATTAAAGTTTTATAGTTTTTACTATATAGGCTAGTCTGACATAATATAACACTGCAATATTGTGTAACCGTTATAGTTATAGTACATGTATGTTCATCATTCCCATTGAACCTCTCTGTGAGAACGGAAGATCCAAACCATTTGTCTTTACAAAACATTTACGTCAAAACTTCCATTTCAATTTGATACTTGCGTAAAACAATTCATCACTTCCCAGAATATACTCAATTAACTAGACGAGTTTGTGTTGTAACAATGGCATGTTTTAGTTTTTAATTAGATTTTTGAAATGCATCAATATAACGACTTAGACGCTGATGATTTACGAATTACGTCGGCAAAGTTTTTAGAGATAACATCTCCGATCTACTGGACCGAACTGTCGGTCAACTCGACAACTGCTTGCACTGGTTCGTTATGTAACAACTTTATAAGCCTCATTCAATTTCGTCGATGCGTCTGACTCGGCATTTTCATTTGTCTCTCGGTGCTCCTCAATAGAAACGGGAACCTTTGGGAACATATTTTATCTCGATGTTGATAGATTTAGATCACTTCGTGTCGGAATTTTAAGTTTCGTGACTTTGAAGTTTGGAAGAAAATTATGAAATTGACAAAAAAACTCGATGGTATGATTAAATTATGGTCTATTGATTCGTCTGGTATAATTGACATTCCTTGAGATGGAAAGAAGAAAGACTTTTACTAAATTGCTTTATAGTACCTACCATTAGAGTAAGAAGGTACAGCTACTACAAAAACTGCTTGTTCATTTTAATTACCAGCGCTCACGCATGACATCTTCTTGTCGAAGGGCACCCTACATGACGTCGGCTGGATTTTGTTTGATCGAGCGATTGTCTTTTCATTATCGAACGATGGCTTGTTATGTAATATTAATTCGATAAGATCTTCTAATTTAAACGCATTCAATCGATCGTCCGACAATTTGTTTTAGATCATCGTTCGTGTTGATTAAGATAAAAAATGTACTCGCGCGTTATTTGTTACTGTCTGTTACTTTAAGTTTGTTTGTTATAACTTGATTAAGTATTATCTCATCTTTAAAATTATCTTTATTATGAATGATAGCAGTGTTTACTACTTTGTATTCTCTTTTATTTACTATAGTGTGGTCCTCATACAAATTAGTAGTTATCGGAAACACGCCTTTATTAACTTTAGTCCTAATCCTTATTAGTCCCACTATCTAATACTCTCAAATGGTTGCGTCTTAAATCTATGCTTAAGAAGCATACTTAAGATTATCAGGAAATACAGGCAGCCTTTTAACCGCTCTACTTTTAAAAGAGATTACATTGACGTTACTTTTAGTACGAGTAGTAGTTGCGAGCTAAATAGCTTAATATTAAATTTTCTTTTTCAGTTATTTGATATGAAGAAGTTCCAATCGAACGTTAACCGTGAGCTGCGCCGTTCGTATCCTGACCGCAGACGACTGGAGACACAGTGCCTCAGTGCTATCGCCTTTGTAAAGTCGGATTCCGATCTTCTCGACTGCCCCATTTGGGTGCTCATAATCAACGTCGTTGCTATGGATATGCTCAAATCTAAGCTGCCACCGGGTAAGTATCGTTTTTTGAGTTCTGTACCCATAGGGTAAAAACGACATACGTATTAATTAATACTCCGCTATCCATCCGTCATCCTGTCTGTCTATTACCGGATCATATCACATAAAAGTGGATTCCGTGATATCTAGGCAGTTGAAATTTGGACTGATTATGTATGGTACAGTGATAAAGTATGAAAATCTGATACTGGATACAATGCAGAATTAAAATAACCAATGGTTTTAATCTATAACTATAAAAACTTAATTCCCTGAAAAACTATAAATAGCTGTAAGCAAAAACTTACTAAATGCATATATACAGTTAACTGAACACAAATTGACTTGTCCTTGAATGATGACGTTTCATAATTAGCGATTTTTACGTAGGTGCAATACTTACATTAGAATAAGTATGTTCTTGATTCTGTTATTATATTATTCTAAGGAAAAATAAGAATAATACAAAAGTACAGTTACTTTAAAACGATGTTAGATTTTAAAATACACGACGTCATTGAACTCGGGAACCTAACTTAAAATTGTAGGTATACAGATCTGGCCAAACCTTTAGCGTGAATATAAAATGTTAATGCATCGGGACGGTTTTTTACACTTCTCAAAAGATTTTATATCGAAGACAGAAAAAGAAACAAAAACAATGCAGGTTTTAGGTTTAGCGATGTTATGCACTTTGGTGATTCACGTGACGGCAAAAAATAAATTATCATGATGGTCAGTAAAATCTTAATATTCATTTTAGTATATCAAGAAAACACAAACTATGATGATGTTCTGACTGTATTAATTATCATTATTCTCATCGTTGATATTGACGTCTCAATTAGAAGTTTTAGGTACTTAACTGAATATTCTTTTCATTGGTTCATTGATTTTTTGTACTACCAAATTTTGATTCACTATCTGGTCAAATGTTTTGTGTTTGTGTAAACAGTTACGCTCATATCATCACGTTATATGTAGTTACGGGATCTCTATCGGTACTAGCAACATAACTGTCAATAAGTTTATCTAATTCATTTTCGTATTTAACAATTCTTGAAACGTTGTCTTTAACTTCATCGTACGACAACGTCTGCTATTTCATTAACATTATCACTACCAACTTGTTCACTATGTACATACATTGACAAGGGCTTGAATCCGGTTGTCACGTCAGCTGCCGACCTTGGTTGAACAATGTTCACTGTCACTTTCTAAGCCTGCACTTTGCAGATCATATCTTATATAATCTTTGTACTAAATGTTAAAGTGTTAAAAATTGATGGGCTATTCTTTTAAAACAAATTGATAATTATTTTAGAAATGGAAATTTTGAAATATGTGATGTAAGTGATGTAACACGCAAAAGAGCTGTCAGTCAATTTGATTAATTTTTTGATTGGTTACCTTTTGTTGGGAATTAAATAAGAGAACGCTGTTTAGAAAAGTGGTGAAACACGTACGATGCTGCGTTTAGATAAAGTTATCTCAAGTGAGATTTAAACGCCGTTTGATAAAATTACAGTCGAGGTTGCACCTCTTTATAAAATAAAAGATGAATTGAATAAAGTTTTGAAGCCCCTGACAATGTCAGAAATCTTATTAATTTTCTGTCCCAAAAATCCAATTTAATGTTAAAAATGTACACGTAAGTGGTAGGTTGGGTAACTAATTGCCTACAAAAGATGATGTTTGATAAAAATGATGGATACGTTTCCCACGAACCATTACGGTTCGTAAATAGGAGGGCAATTACTTTTTATGTAATTATGCACTCATATGATGTGGAGCTTAATGTGGAGAGATTTGAAACAAATGTGCGTGTCACACTACTCGTATATTCCCTTGAGGTTAAGTCAGAAAAGAAAGATTTCATAAACTCTTAACGATTTTATTGCCATAAAACTTGCCATGATAACAAGCAAGACTAATATAAACAAACAATTTGTGATTCAAAATAATTATTTTGTCGCGCTCACGCTCATCTAACTGAACAAAAGTCTCACAATCTAGAATACCGCTAACATTGACGTGATCTTCACTAACAATGCGCTTGAAATATTTATATAAACCACAATGTTTTGTAGTAAAATCATATTAAAAACACTTCCGCACTAAAAACATCACTTGAGTTATTTAGTGTGGCTAGTCAGTCAGTCTGGTAAAAAAAGTTAACGTGTGAGCAACGCATCGTTTTTACCTCCATTTTTTTAATGCAAGCTTCATTAAGTAAAGCATGGTCAAGGTAGGCGGGTTGTGGATTTGGGAAAATATTTGCGGTCAGGTCAGTAGTATACAAGGAAAATTATATAAGATAATGCTTTGACATCGAATCTCTTGGCATTAAAGTAATTTAAAAAAAAAGAGGAGCTAAACAAAATACATTTCTACTATAAAATTTAATTTTGCCTTTTTATCCCTTTGAATTGCCTCATCGTTAACGCTCATATTGTCTTAATAAAATATAAAGAGTCTTGTTATTTCTTAATAACTTTAAATTGCGTACACTTATTAAAATGACACCGCACTTCTAACTACCTTCAATTAAATCAACTGCGCACTCACACATACACCAATACAATCTAACTAGCACCAGTTCTTCGTTTAATCTAACAAAAACTGAACAGGAAGTGGTTTCGTCTACATATTGCTTCAGATCACTTCAATAAAACTCATAAATTGGTCACAAAACCAATTAAATGCCTAACACACATACGTGTCCAATGTTACGCATATTTAGATAATTACAAGCTCCAAGCAACTGGTCGAATAGGTTAAAAAAATCAATTTAATTTAACCTTAGAAAGAAATGTACGCCTACTACCAAATTACAAATTAAAACAAACAATTCTAACAAACACGACCTCAATTTGAAATCTAATAAAATGAACATGATCATTTATATCCACCTTATTTTATAAAAAGATATAAATGAGCCTACAAATAACGTTGCTAAATAACCTTAATCTGTAACTGGCCACGTCGCATCGTTAAGGTGACAGAAGCAGTAAACGATTTCACGCTGTTCCCAACAATAGAGGAGAAAACAAGCAAAATTGCAATAGCAGCATTAAGGGACATAAACGCACAATACGTGTCATAGCGAATAAATTGCCTAACACCGATATCACGGACAGAGACACATAGGCCCCGTGAAGAGTCCCCAGAACTGAGAACACAGCCCCTTTATCTCAAAACATAAAAATATTCCATTAAAGTATCACATTGTGAACAGTATTTATCAAAACAATCCGCGTGGGAGTTAACCCAACTGTAGCACCTCTTATGACTGTTAAAACATCCTTAACACTGTCTCTTTCAACTGTAGCATCATTATAATGTTTTAAAAGTATTTTGCTATTTGTTATAATGTTCATTTTAAGTCTTTCCATATCATCAGTTACAAGGTCTCTGTCGAACATCAGTTACGCGTCATCAACGTTGACAGTAATTACCATTGAATAGGCGTATGTTTGCATACGTAGACGATGACTTGAGGCACCCAAAGATCTGACAATGTTACAGTTACCTTGTCTTAGACCTCCGGGGACTGGGGCTCAGGTATTATGGAACAATGGGACGACCTCTACACTTATCATTAACTGATGAATATACAAAATTAAATTCTTATAATGCACAGTAATATTCTCACGCGCAACCGCGACCGTTTAAGTAAGTTGTATTAACCTTGGGCTTATTGAAGTTTTAAGCAGGAGAGAAAAAATGATACAGTGCGGAAAGTCCAGACCAAAAATAAATTGATTATATACTTCAGTATTTTGATGTTGGAGATGGCCTTAAAACCAGCATCATCAGTAGTTGTAGTCTTGTTGTAATTATTGAGGACTCGTTCAAAAGTGATCCGGTTTACTGAGACAAGGTGATCAGCCAGTAATAATGTACATACAATTGGCTGCCCAAAGAGACTTCCGGAAAACAAGATGGGACACAAATATCGAGCGTGCGTCATCACGTCTGCAACTACCGACACTCCTGTTTTATTCATATCAAAAGAAAATTTGAATTACCCTTAGTAATTTGCTCGTAAGCAGCAAGTGTGAATCGAGGTATTATTATTATATAGATAATTTTCAAATCTGATTCAGTTCCCATAGCACGTAACCGCATCAACTATGCAGAGCCTCACTTCTCAGTAGTCTGCTTATTGTTGTGCAACAATGCAATCTTCCTTCGATCTCAAGATGTATTGCACCTCATTTCACTCAAACCATACTGGAAATTTCTAACTAACCCCATCTAGGCATGTTAACAGCAATTCAACATCTAATATTGGTTTTGCACAAATCATAGTGAGGCTATGGGAAAGAAACCGCACCGAGAGATTCCCTTGATTTTCCACCACGGATAAGATGCGTTCATAGATTTTCTGCAGTGGTTTCGCGGTCTTGCCACTGTTTATCTGTTAAGGAACTCAAATAAATCTATTGGGTAATGTAGCTAATGTTTTCTGTACGGGAATCGTGACACTTAAACGTGGCCACTGGTCGCTTTTACTGATATAGCAGCAAAAGCTTAACCTCTGTGTCATGGTAGCAATTGTGCCTTATTATTATAGTCGTGTCTTTCGTTATTTCCATAATTAATCTATTTATATCTATTGTTGATCAGTTCACCTGTATAAAGATGGTCAAATTGTATTTGTATAAACATTCATAAGAGCTACATTGCTGACAATCATATTTCTCATTAAATCGATTCCAACCCTCAAAATAGAGTAATGTTCACGTCACACACTTAAAATTTCGATTTCATAACAAAGGTCAAACTTTGTAACTAGATCATACGAATGCAATCGTTGCCCATAAACCCATTAAATTCACTTTGAATTTGTAACGAGCACCTATTGAATCATTGAAGGCTTGAACTGACGTGAATCGTGACTGATGTTATGCAAAACTGGAATCGATTGACAATAGGAAGCATTCTGAACGAGAGTGGTCTGTATACTTTGATTTTAGTAGCTCTAATTTGGAGATCAAACTTGGCTGTAATAGTTCTTGTCTTGCAACATCTTAAAGGTGCAGTTATACAAAAGCTTTAAAAGAAAAATTTAGAAGATGGTATCAATTAAAGCGAATTTTATATTCAGCTTTCGTTTTCGCCTAGTAAAATGTCTTATCAAACTAATCTTGGAATAATTAGACCCATGCTCTGCTCTTGACACATTGCTTTAAAAATAGCAACAGCGAACTCAAAACCATTTTTTGTGAATAGACGCACGTAATTTTCTCAGCATTTAAAAACAGTCAGTGTATGTTACTCGGCTATTAGCATTCAGCTCATTGGCTGAACTAATCGGGATTCTAATCCCGTTGCGACATGGCGTCTACGGTATTTCCAGACACAGGTTTATCTTTTAAACTTAGATTATGTGCGAAACAAAGCTTTATCGTTTCCACAACATCTCTATAATGTCGACACTGCATCTGCGAAATGCTGCTCAAACAAAAGAACATCGACTTCCTTATCAAAATTGCTGTAATTGCTATCTTGGCTAAAAGCCTTTAAACAATTGGTCGAATAATATTTAATATTTAGTTACATTACCGTAATAGTATGGTTTGTAAGTGGTCTAAAAGCGTGTAATCATCGTAATGAGAGGGCTCAATTAGGAACAACATTTTGTAATAAATAGATAATTGTCTAATGTGGTGCACAGAGCAAGGCAGACACCACAGTTCAAATCGTTTCTGCTTGATCATTCGTCATGATTAAACATGTTAGTTTAAACAAACATTTAGGACTTAGACAATCCGACACCACAAGATAGATGTTAGACCTATTCCCTCTTTTGTGCCGCACCGTCGCTCAAGCAATAAATTTTATATCCACTTTGATATTTCGCAACTAAAAGAGCCAATATTCGCGTGAATTTACATTTATTGTTTGAAGATTATGTATTCAGCCTTGCGGTGTAATAGTAAAGTTGGTTAATCGTGGACGATTCGTTTATTTTTATGATTAGAGACAAAGGTACGTGTGGTAAAGTGGAATGAAGACAACAGACCTTTACCGTCGCATTAATAACCGTAGGTTGTTTGAAGTCGTGAAGAGGAGTGATTGCCATCCGATCTGAACATCACGAAACTACATTTGTGTTGTGCAAGCGTCGCTAAACGTTTCCAATTGTTGTATGCTCATGTTAGATAACCATAAACCATGTTAATTAATATATCAAATATTTTAATAGAATTTAAATTACTTTATTAACTATTAATTCTTTGGTCCAGCTGAACCAAAATACAAGTTGTCAGTTTTACGATGCCTATAAAATACATAGTTTGTTAGCAAAGACTATCATTTGAAACGAATAATTCAATATCCAATAACATTTTTCGAGGTAAATGAATAATTGAATAACATTATTTATTACAATGAACTCTGACATTAATGTCGAAGAATCATTAATGTCCTTTTTTGTCGGGTCATTTTAATAGTTGTACTAATGTTCAAGTAGGTATTATTCCCTATATTTCTTTAGTTGTATGAAAAATAAATAACTCCTAAATGTTATGTGTACCTTATTGTCAAGGAGGAGTCTACTAGCTTTCGTTTTTTCTAAAACATTACTTTTTATTCCTCGTTTCCTTCTGAAAAATATTTCCTGAAACCATTGGTTATTTTTAATCATCTACTCAAAGGTTTTTCTAACAATACACTTTTGTCAACAGTTCAAAGACTGATGGACATCAAGAACCGACCACGCATCCCAATCCCAGATGAAGACCCATACAGCATCGCCAGCTCCAACGCCAACGGATCAGGATCCAGTGGCAGTTCTGGAGGTTATGGACACAACGGACATAATGGACACAATAACAATGGACATGGAGTGGTTGCTGCCACTAGAGAACAGCTCATGATGCAGATGGGACAGAGGAGAGGTGACAAGCCTCCGAAACTACCGCCCAGGGAGAATGGGTACGGTCCAGCTGACATTCCCAAGGTACGTGGATACAAAGTGAGTTATCGATTTTGGTGACCTCTTTGCATGCTTCTGCACCTGCATGCTTAAATTGGCACACTTGGATGTAAGGATCTGTATTTGTAAGTCGTGGATAAATATTGGTGATAGCAGAAACCAATTGAATGTATAATCAAAATGTCCTTTTGATTTTTGATTTAGATTTGTTTATTAATATTCAAATTGAAACTGCTCCTGATTTAATCAGCACTATAGAAAATTTGTTATATCCCTTAAATTCAAACAAGACAACTTTGAACAGTAACAGAAAATGTAGTATGACCAATTTAATCAGCTTAAACGAGCGCTCTCAAACGCACAATAAAATAGTGTGCAAAGCACTTGTGCAAAGGGCAATAAAATTGATCATTAAAGTTACTTCAATAGTCCGTTATAAGTACGCATAAAATCGATTTTCAATGTCTCATTTAAAAAGTTCGCTCATCGTAAATTAATTTAATAGGATATGATTTACCAGCCCTGCAGTTTCATGATTGAATAATAATAAACTTGAATCCTCTACCACTGATATAAAAGTAAGATGCGGTTGCGAATCGACAAAGTAATTTTCGAAGTGAAAATTGCATTACGAATTATTTTTTCATTGTAAAGTTTGTGCATGGTGGTACTTTTTGTGATGCCATTTTGTGAGGTTATTTTTATTACGATAATTTACATGTAATTTTTATTTCTGGTCTTATAATAAACATACCGCCTGCGCTCCTCGGTGAACTTTGTATATTTTATGTCGCTGATTATTCCCTTACTTTAAGATGTTATTATATGAGCTTTGTTCCTTTTTTAGAGCAATTTGTACATTTCCGTTGTCTCCGAGTGTTGGCCGTGACAAAGTATTTTTAGTAGCGCCCTTTTTTTCGTGTGTCTTGTCGTGTCATTATTTTTTTCGTCAAGAATCTCATATCTAAATTGCTACTGGACTCTTAAGAACATCAGAAATAATAATAAAGTAACCTAAATTAAAAATCGTTAATCTTTGTTAGCCCTTAATGCACATTTGGCAAACGTAAAGAATAAAAATGACATTTGAAATCTACTTAGTGATAAAGTTACGATTTATGCAGATTGAAATACAAAAATGTCTCCGTATGAATAATGGTTGGCGACCGTAATCAACAAATAAGTCACACGAGAAATGTACACCGCACCGAATCAGAATCTTATGTCAGCTTAAGGTCTTTAGTCACGAAAATACGCAAAAAGTATTAAATGCCTGAGTCCAAAATCCTCAGACGACTTAAGATTTCAATTATCTTAATCCTTTCGTTGATTAAATTCCATTAATATTTTCCACAATTGGAAACCTGTCGTTGCTATGACCTTCCCTATTCGGTTCGTTTACATTTGTTATTTTATCTATTTCATGTTCAATCTGCAAGTCATTTATTTTTCCGTCATCAACAAATTAGCTTTTTCTATAACATAAAAGAACACATTGATCATTTGATCAATTTTATAATAGGCTACCTAATGGATCTAAAGTCGGTAATGCGAATCAAATGGTATTAAATTAATCGAAATCCAATGTATTTGCTACACGCAGAAGCAATGGATTCTCTGAATCATTTGAAGAACCATTTGTCTGTTGAATAAGAGACTGTGTAAGCATTATTGTTATAATGTAACCCATACATCATCGAGAGCGCAGGGTTGTAAGGTGGCTGTCATGTTCTTATACATTCACGTCAATAGTTCTTTATTCCTAAACAAAACGTATTCATCCATCATTGGGTAAATCACGTCTCAAAACATAACAATTGTAAAGATATAAACATCGAAGGTGAAAGTTCAATCCGATTAACGCCTGTCGGTTCCGACTTCTTGTCAGATAATTGTGGACATGCGCTATCGCAACTGTGTGGAGTGGACAATGGTCGGCCCAGCGGGAAAGATAACCCTGACGTATCTCACATCTCATCGCCTTGAAGATAAATGATAGCGACTACATAGTACAGCGTCGGCTTTTACTCTTTTATTGGTTTACCTGGTCTTCTCAGCTTCTGACACCATACAAATGAACAATGTCCTTTGTGTGTCTGTTAGGCCTCACTTTTATGCCCGCTAGGTGTTTATTAAGAAAATATACTGCCTGAACCGATATGTTTTGCCAGGGTGGTTTCCATAACCTTTATTTGATAAGATCCTGTTTCTATGAGTTTTATATATCACGACTCTTTGTTTTTTGATGCCATCTTTGGTTCGTTACAAGGTAAAAGATTGTACGGCGCCCACACGTTCATATTATTGCATCCGATTTTTGCTTCGTGTTTTATACATGGATTACTTGCTTTTACATGTTCTTAGGCGCTATATGTGTTGTTTAGAGGACAGATTACATGGTAATTGCGCTCTGGGCGTTCTTTTAGCCGCCGCCTGGCTTTCATGTCGCCAAGAACGTTGTAGGACTACATTAGATAGGTACATTCAGTGATATTGTCAATTACGGAATAAATATGGTTCGGTAGAATATTTAATAATTGTTCCTAAAATTTGTACCCCATTATATGTGCATTTTATATGTATGTATAATTAATAATAATATATTTTTCATTTCGCAGCCTGATTACGATGACATTGAAGGACATGACGGACGCGTGCCAACACAGTTCCCAAGAGGCAAATCAGATAAAGGCAAAGACAATAAGAAATACGGTAAGTTAAGTCTTATTCTCAAAGAAAGTTTGAAATCGCAACGAGCCTAATATAAACACCTAGAACAAAAAATCCTCTATCAACTTACAGCCGTTACTACTGATCGTATTTAAGTAAAACAATTTCTATATTTGCGGACCCATGAAACTACACTATTGTTTCATATTGACCTTATAAAAGGCCTGCAAGAAGTCACTGAATCTCAGTCCTCAGAACAAGCCCCTAATTAACTTCGATAAGGACATTCATAACTTAGTGGAACTTCAATTAACTTTCCCATTCTAGAAACAAAGAAGTGTCCAAAAAGAAAATCAGAAAAAAATAGCATTAATTACTTGGATCGTATAAATTCTGTGGGTCGTATCACGGTGTTCTGTCTTGCTGAATAGGTAATAACAGTATTTAAAAGGAGAGGTTTCTGGAGGCGCCTACAATGAGAGCGGACTGCCGATCGCTCGCCCACTATGGTCATTACTATGCTCATAACTCCTCGGTAATGGACAAATAGGTTCAACTGATAGCGAACTGTGCTCGATTGCGATTTTTTCACCGACAAATGTCTGTAAAAACTTTTTGCCGACTGTTATAGGATTTGCGGTCTCTTTATTTGGCTGAACTTTTTCATTCGTATTCGTTTATTTCTATGAGTCGATATAAAATCGAGTCACATTCATTCATCGCCTTACAAATTTACAAGTAATGCGATTTTATTAAACTCGTAGTCGACACCACGTTTGTCAATTCATTACAAAACTTTCTATTTACATTTCACAACGTCCAATCACAAAGATATTATTTACCACTAGTATTAGTCAAGCAATCACCGCCCTTTGCGACCAGAACTGTCCATTTGAACACGATGCCGTTGACAATGCAGAGGATTTATGAATGCGACTTGCAATTTATTCAGGCACGTTGCAAGAACTTGCAAGTGTGAACCTTTATATCAACAACTCTAGTCAGATCATCATTTATAAACCCATGTCCACGCACCTCGTGATTTAAGGCAATATTTATAATATATTGAGTATGGGCTTAAGGTTATAGGCACAATGAACTCGATACCTTTTGATGGGACTCTGATAAAACTGATATACTAGGGCTGTGCTCTTAAAGATTCACGATATGGGTCGGGATCGCTGTATTTACCTTAAGTATTATGCTCACATTCAGTAGGCTGCATATATTTTTTCTTTATTTTTCAATTTTGTAACATTTTATAAGTATACGTAAGTAAAATTATGTAGTCATTTGGCTTAATATATATTTTTTCATTTAAACACTGTTAATGCTTTGGTAAATCAAGACGAAATGACCTATAGTATAATTTTAAATATAGAAATCACTCGTACGTATCCAAAGTGGAATTTTGTGTTTCTAAGAAATCTTTTTGTACACAAAACGACAACAGAGTACCTAGGTAGTGTATCAAGAGCATGGCCATGCATCACAGATTACAAGAGGACACTTACTCAAGCACCACAAGCACCGTCTAAAAGGAGTAGATACTATTTAAAATATTAAGAGTTATATCGAACCGACAAAGCGCCAAGTCTCTTTTGAAATATGAGCACAGTTTACGTTTGAGTACACTTTTGACAGTTATGTTTTAACATTAAAAGACGTATACGCATGAGTTGGAATTTGGTAGTTTTATGCAAATTAATTTTACGTATTATCTGATGCGTAAGCAGTTTATGTTCGCGGATTCCTGACTGTCATTGTCGAGTTTTTGGATCACATTCGCACGATTTAATTTCGAACACTTGATTTCGATCTCCATTCATAAGAAGGGCTCGGTGCAGAGGTTATGAACAGACAATACCCCGGTGTCGCAACCGACGCCTGGCATTTCGGCGTATCCTTGATATTTGAATCGTCGGTATTTGGAACGAGCCAGGCGTAGGATGCGGAACATGGAACGTGCATGCGTTCCGTATTATAAGCGTGTGTTCGCTGCTCTAACATAGGAATACGTGAACGATAACTATGTTATGTAAAGGCTCGTTTCCAGGTACTAACACGTCTATCGGTACTTGTTTGCATGTAATTTGAGTCCAATTATAAAATGTGTTTATCTTACTTTCAGATGATCCTTACTACTGCGGTCTACGGGCGCGTGTGCCCAACTTCGTGAAGACCAATGGCGCTAAAGTTCTACCAACCATGACCGAACGCCTCACTTTGAAGGAAGCTCCGGTGCCCAGCAAGCGTTACAGCGTGGCCCACGCCCACCCTGGTCCATTCCCGCCCCACATGGCTCCGTTTGCACACGCTCCAATGCCACCACAGGCTTTGTGGCACGCTCGTTCTTACGAGAGCGGAATCGGTGCGTACGAACGTCTCCCCAGAAAAGAGAAGCTCATGTTCCAATTCTATCCGAACAGGGAACAGAAACGGCTGCGACCCCTCGTGATCCAGCAGCCGCGCTAGTGTATATACAGACTAACCCCGCACTTTAATTCCACCGCCTCAACGCGGACTCTTCGCTCCAATCTTGGTATTTAAACTTTCTGTTATATTAGATCGCTTCGCTTGGTAGCACAACTCGCCTGTAAGCTTCGTTTCTACACTTTCCACACTTCTGAGTTCATCTCTCATCTTCACCAGTATCTAGTATTTCACGTCCACACTTCCTTCTTGACATCCTTGTCAAATCTTGATTCTTCAAAATTGCAAGATTTCTATTGAGAGCTTAGCCATCATCCTTAGATGTACATTTCAATAGCACAATTTCAGATTAGAGAACAGAGCTCAAATGCTAGAAGAAAGAAGAAGATACCTCGCCGCGTTGTTCCCTCCTTGTGTTTGTAACTAATAGTAGTATTTGTCTTTATTGTATCAATAACAAAACCCGTTGCTTATCCTTAAATGTTTGTAACATCTCCACTAACACCGCAAGATTTACAGAATACATAGATAGCAAAGATTTAGTTCACCCTGAGTTTTGGAAACCGCTGAGCAATAAGAAGCCAATCTGGCACGCCAACCGTTAAAAGAATAATTTTGTTAGAGATAGTTTTCGGTTTTTAGACGTGTAAAACATGGTTGATGATTACTTGCAGACGGAGAGCAGCACTATGATCCATACGCGCTGTACGGTCGCCTGCCCATGCCTGGACGTGGCTTCCCACCACCACCCGCCCCCCACGCGCGTCACATGTTTATTGGAGAGTGGGACTAGAGTGCGAATCACCTGACACCTGGCAACTTAACCTAGAATTTTAACAAGGATACTGTCAAATCGACATCAACGTCACATTTTGTAAACGTTGATGATCTTTATTAATTTGTGAAAGCCCTGACACCAAAGATTGAAAGATTTCTTTCAGCTTGGTGAATGAATCTATAATCGATTCGACAGTATTCTAGATACGTATTGTTATATTGTAAATATTGAAAAGTTTGTAAAATAAATGGGAATTTGAAATGTGTTGATGGTCGATAATACCTTTATTTACTTTTGTATAATGGAAAGCAAATGATTTGCTTAACGATACCGAGATTTCTTGTATGCATCACATGTAACTCTGTGTCTATTTAAGTGATAGAGTAAGAATTTTATTTAGCAACTTTACCATCATGTTATAGTAATGTATTTAACTGATAATTGTAAAAAATTAGGTATAAATAATTAAAACAATAAGTTAACTATCACTGCCAATATTTAACGATTTTCGTGTTCAACGTCATCACAATGTGTCTTGTCGTTATAATAATTTTCTTTTTATATTATTTAAGTGGCAATCCTAGTCAAAACAGGGTTGGGAATTTTAAATCGATTAGGGATTTTTTTTGTTATTTTATTTATAAATTTCAAGAATGTAATGAACTTATTTTCGGTAAATCCAATGACTTCGAAAGTAGTTCGTTTTTTAATAAAAACTTTGACTCATTTTTTTAATACGTTTTGTACTCTAGAGGTTGATGAGGAAGCTTGAAGACATTTTTTAATTTCGAAGCATCACAAATTGTTAATATCTTTTGTTAATTGTGTAAATTGCATATTATTGGATTTAAATAATAACTTCTAGGAATAAGTTAGGAATTCAATTTTAGATGTAATAAAATACTGTTGTAAATACTTCATTTCTTCACAGTTACGATAACTTTTTATATTCATGTATTTCCTGATATATTTTCTACAATACTCAATTATCATAATAAAACATATTATTATGTTAGTATATCTAGTTATGTACAACCATGTTGACAATTTAAATGTAATTTATTGTCACAATTTATATTTAAGATTTTCATACTTTTGTATATTTAGATATGTTTTGTATAGGCAGGACATTTAAGATATTAAAAAACAATATCCTAATAAATACAAAAGCTATTTTTAAATCAGGGTTCAAATGAATAAAAGATGGCGACTTGACAAAAGCTGTCAAACCGCCATATTTATTTACAAAATAACAAAATGTTCGAAATTTAAAAATCGACAGCTTGAAATTGTTGTCTACCGATAAATGGAACAGACTCTATTGCTGTTTCATAGTATTTACTTATAAAATCTCAATTTAAAATAATATCCTTGAAGTAACTATGGTGTTAATTAATCTAGTTCTTATTGGATCCTATTTTATATGCTTCCAAAACTGATATATAGCTACAAAATTAGAGGTGCTGCACAGGTTACCAATAAAATATTGTATCTTATGCATTATTATAGATAATTATAATGATACTTTTATATGAGAGAAGGCACATCAAAAAGTATAAGTATTTTTCCAAATCAAAGATGGTGATACAGGAAAATTGATTACTATAAGAGAAGAAGATAAGAATTAATGTAAGGAAAGTTCCAGTGTAAGCTGAACTGGAAATGGCATGGAAATCTTAAAAATGCAAGGTCAGATTGTGCTGGATGAAAGTAGAGGTATTGTAAGCATCAAGAACGTACTGGCATTTTGCAATAATTTGTATAGCATTTTTTTTTATAAATATACGCCAATGGGTGTTCTTTAAGTCCTGTAGCTCTGGCACAATGTAAATTACTGCTGTTTTTACGAATTTTAGTAATAAAATATCAACATCCACTTGTATTATGTTGTGTTGGGTGTTGGTTATCGAGTAACCTATTATAGGAACACCGTTTATGAGTAAATATACAATTATTTTAATAAATACACTCGTTTTATTGATTGCTTATTACATTTGAGTTCCGAATTTGTTTTGTTAAGTAACACAGAAAATTTTCACTAGAGAGAAAAATTCGTCCTCTGTTAAAAACGCCGCCGCTCAGGATAAAATGTAGGTATTATAAAGTGTTTAAAGTTTTTAAATTAGCCTGCGATACGGATATAAAAAATATTAATCATAATAGTTATTGAGAAACTAATAATGGAGAAATACAGAAACTAAGGAGTGTTACAGACAGCACGGTTGGTGTAGTGGCTGGCTGCTGTGCAACCAGCAACTGGTTGGTGTCACAGGTTCGATTCCCGCGCTGGACAAAATTTTGTGGCTGGCTGCTGTGCAACCAGCAACTGGTTGGTGTCACGGGTTCGATACCCGCGCTGGACAAAATTTTTTGGGATCCGCAGATTGTTGTTTCAGATCTGGGTTTGTGTATGTGAATTTCCTGTTTTTAAACGCACCCATGACACAGGAAAACATTCTGGTGTCTCACATTAGGATTTTAAGAGCAACGTTTTTAAGAGAGGAAAATAATAGTAACAAAATCAATTTACGGTTCTTGGACAAATAATAACAGGCTCTGTTATATGGCAGTTAAAACTATACTTATCATTTTTGCTGGGTTGGATAGCTTGCATACGTTATTAATACACTTTGGAAGGAGTTTCCAAGAGCAGTTAGGGATTCATCAATAACCAAATCTATGTCTAAAAGACACTTCACATTTGTGCAATAAAATAATCTAAGGCTTCTTATATTCCCCAGCACCAATCCATTTCTTAATTAAATATTTGATGTATTTCCTTGCTTCTTTTAATTCTTCTGGATCCTTCGATCTGTCTGAGAACAAATCTCTACAATGAGATGCCTGTGGTATGATTTTCGCTGGTGCATCATATGCCACGTCTTCTAATACTCCCAATCTACTATAAGGATCTAATTCACCATTAACAAACACTACATGAGTAAGATTTGGTTGTAAACCTCCGTACATATCATTTGAACGTTCAATTCCTTCATCGATACGTTGTTCGTCAAACTGCTCTCCAAAAGCCTTTCTACACATCAAATAAAATAATTCCACAGGTACATTATTAAATGGCTGATTTTCGGAATCAGTTGTTGGAAAATAACCGAATTCCGTACAAGTTTGGTAAGTCCAAGACATGGCCCAGTCAATGTTCCTCATCTGTTCAATCATTTCATCGAAATCATAATTAAAACAGTTCTCTTCTTTGCTCATAAAGACATTATCTTCCATACGAGAATTTATATGAAAAGTTTTCTTAACGTCTTCGCAAAAATGATTGATGGTGTCAACGTTACCGTATTGCGCTTCGTACATGAAATAAGACGCTTTGTCTAAGAAGAAAATCTGCTTATTTTCAGGTTTTGTCATGTCCACGTCTTTACAAATTTCCTCTTCTTCCATAAGCTGAGCAATTCCTGAAGTTGTTTTGAATAATTCTTCGTATCTCTGAAATACTTGTTTTATTCTTTTAGTGCACCCATCACTACCATATTGTTCAAAGTCATAATTAACTCTTTCTAAATATTCGTAAAAGTTTTTCTTCGCTAGAACTGGTGCACTGCTGGCAAGAGCAGCATCGACTAGATCAGGATACAGGAGTTTCATCCAAGCTGCTAAGTTACCTGCGTAAGACCCACCGACGACCACCACTTTTGATTCATTATAACTCGCCGACATTTTGATGTGCTCAAGCAACTTCGCAACGTCTGCAAGAGCTTGTCGAGAACTGAGATACGCCAAAGTTTCAGCATTCAAATTTTTAAAAGGCTTACTTTTCCCATAATATCTATGTTCCGACAAATACATGGCACCATTAGTTTCTTTTGCTAAATCATATAATATTCCTGTTTGGAGAAATACATCACTTGCCTCTCCCTCGCCGTTGATGAACAAATATATCGGTCCTTTAGGTTTCCAAAGATCAAGTCTTTCATAATACCTCATCTTCCATATACGGGTGTCTGTTTCGTTGAAGTGGTCCAACGGTTGTTCTATCCACTTGGTAGAAGTTTGAGATGAATCTGGATACGCCAGTGTTGATAGTAGTTGTTGTACGTAGATTTTGTACTCATTATGAATGCCAAAGATGCCGAGGGCATTGGAGAAGTAGAAACAAGAAGAAAGAACAATATTTAGTTCTATAAAATGCATTGCTTTGGATGCAGCCAGGTGCGCTCAGTATAGTTTGAATACTGTATTTTGCGTTCGTTTGCTATTTGGAACGAGCTGAGATAATACGTTGTATATCCGTTATATTAAATCCGAATGCGGGTACTAAATTCAGTTACGTGTTCAGTATCTGTGTGTAATGCAAATATAATGATAGTTTAAGCATAAAATGCTTATCGACGTCAATGCAAATGAGTTATTGATACGAGTGTGTGACTGATGAGCTAGTGGCAGTCCAAAAGTTGATGCGACTAGCAATCCAAGTATGGGTTCGAAATCTAGTAAGTATGTAACAAAACATTTTTGTCGGTTTATAAAGTAGCTTCTTAGAATAGGTATATATGTATATACCACATAAGGCTCTTCAAACTTGAAAATTTATGTAGACAAAAAACAAATCGACTTAAATAAGAAGAAACTATGCAATTATGATATAGAAAACAAGAGTATCAAAAAATTTAACTTAAATAAGTGAAATATAAAAGTTGGTATTAATCTCGTGAAAGCTGTTGCTATCGTAAATTACCTAGGCGCCAATAAGATACATGATAATAAATTCAATAAATTTGTGTTAAGCTGCCTACGAATAAATAAGCAACAATATTCTTTAAGAATGCATAGCAAAGGAATAATCAACCAAGCACTGGCTGGTACAATAACTACAGTCGTCAAGTCATCCACGTTACCATGGCAACGCGTCAAACAACAAATCTATTGCGCCGGTCGACATCAGACGTTTGACCTGGTTAATGTGAAAAAAAGTAATTAATTACTTTGTATTGTTATGGATTTTTCTGAGGGCAGCGCGGGGGGTAAGAGGCCGGACGCCCCTAGACCCGTATCCAGACGTGGTTACAGAGAGTATACAAACACTGGCTCAGCTGTGTCCAGGTAAGTTCTTGTGCCTATAGATATAAGGTAGACTTCTCTATATCAATTATTATATTTTGTTATAATGCTTCATATTGTTAATTAATTGGTAAGAGAGTTCTAGTGTTTTCGTTTGATTATCTTATCAGGAGTTTTGGTAATAAGTAGTTGTCGACGAGCCTTTGTTTTAACTGAACGTGTTTGCTGAAGTTTGGCGTCGCATAGTCATTGATATCGGAGGTAGATATACTTAGTTATAAAAGTTTTAATGTGTGGTAATACTTTGGTACAGAGATAAAGCATTATTTTTAAATATATAGAGATCATCTGGATAGATTATGTTTATACATATGGTAATTTTTTTCTGTGTTACGCACACCTAAATATATTTAAATAAGTTTACTGCAAAAGTTTTAATTCTTTCGGAAACTCAGTCTACATTTTTATTGATTTATAAATTATCGTCATCATTTATCAACCACATGACATTCACTACTGCAACAAACACATACAAATATATGTATACCTACCCTTTAAAGACTTCCATCAGGAAATTTAATTACTTGGGGATACATAATTTAATGTAAAAATCAGGCGGTACATACAATCTGACAATCTCAAACCTTTATAATAACACCCATTAATTTAATACAGTAGAAAATTTTAAAAAGATACATTTGTTCTTCTAGAAGTAGCACAATGAGGCCGACATCAGCCTACCGAGGCAGTACAGCATCACGGCTGTCGACAGCTGGCTTTGGGCCTGCTCCTCCCACCGCCAGCCGACAGCCGACCGCCATGACAGGATTTTCCATGGTAGGTACGTTTTATCTATTGTAATAACAGCCCACTGTTTTCTAGTAATGAAAGTCATCTAATTATCGTAAGTTACAGTGAAAGAATTTTGGCAATCTGACCAGCGGTTCCAAAGATACCTACAAACAAACTTACAAATTTTACCTCCTATATTAGTAATTGACAAACCATAAATGTAATTAAAGAAGCAAGCACATAAAAGACATTTTTAGGGTATGTTCAGTGGGAAAACGCTTGGGTCATGTTTCGCTGTTCAAATGAGGTTACCAGAAGCGGCGGAAATCCAACTAAATATGGCAACACAATCTTTGAGATTTTAATAAGTGAGTTACTTCCGTCTGAGTCTTTGTCCTCCTATGCCACAATCAGATAAAATGTCTTTACTGGGAGGTGTTAACCCCAGAGCGGGTTATAGGAAATGTTGTTATGTTTTCTTAATTTTTTAATATTGTAAAATTTTCAAGGCTATGTACCAACTACACAAGAACAACCAATAAAGCAGTCTAAATACCTAAGAACGAATGATAATTAATTAATTATACAGATACAGGTTAAACTATCATAGAGTTTAATTAAAATAAAACAACTATATTTTCAGATCGATAGACCAATAACCCAGCAAGGCATATCTGGTCTTCGAACAGGAACCGCTAGAGGTTTCCGTACCCGTCAACTTCAAGATAAACGATATTGGGAAGAGCTGATGCAAGTTAAGGTGAGGGAGATGAAGGCTGAAATAGCCAGGCTAAGTGAACAAGCTGATGCTGGAGAAAGAGAGCGATCAGCCAAGAAACATTACGAGAAGAGAGTCAGAGAGTTAGCTCTGGAACTGACTGGTAAGTTTGGATTACTGATGGCGAATTAAAAATTTGTTAATTGAAGCACAACGTGTATTACTCAATTCATATGATACGGTGGCAAACGAGAACGCGGATTACCTGATGTTAAGCAATCGGCGTCGCCTATGTACACAACATTACAAAAGTCAAAAGTCAAAATCCTTTATTTCAATTAGACCACAGTAGGCACTTTTGAACGTCAAGCAAAAAAAAAGGATAAAGTATTTCAAGAACTTTAACATTTAGCGTGTCAGTCTGTCCTCTAGTGAAGCTATTTGCTCATTCCAAAGTGTAGATTTCAATGGAAAAGAACGAGTAAGAAACTCCATGGTTACTCTTTTTCAATCAGTTTTATAAAACATTTTTCTTTGTTACATCATTTGGTCGGCTCGTATTGTACAACACCAGAGGAGTCGCAAGTACATTGCTAGTCTTTTGGGGATTGGGAGGAGATGGGGAGAGGGAAGGATTAAGCTTCCCGTTACCTTATTCACAACAGATGGACTACAGATGCAGTAGACATTATTGTAGGAGGATATTATTATTACATAACAAAATCTTCCCTTTCATATTTCTAGATTTGCAAGGCCGTCTAGCAGATTACAACACAGCGATCCGTATAGCTAATGGCGAAGCCAATAAGTTGAGTGTGGAAGAACAGACTAGGGACTTGGAAGCCAGTAACCAGAAGATGCAAGAAGAAGTTGAGCAAGTCTTTATGGAGAAACAGAGAAAGGAGAACCAACTGAGACAATTAAGGGAACAGATGGATAAGGTAACTTTTGTATTAGACTCGGTAGCAAGACTGCACATCCACTTTTTACTAGTAACTAACAGATATGCACAATGTGCTTATTTTGGTATATTTACTAATTTTGCTAAACTATGTTGGTTGTTCGATGAGAGAGAAATGACTCGATCTAGCATTACAGATGAATATAATGTTTCCTAGGAACAGTCAACAATCACTAAGCTGCTGGCAGAAATGACTCAAGAACAAAAGGATGAATATAATGAACTCGAAGCAACTGCTTCTGCGTTGAGAGAAGAAGTGGAACAAGCTAGGACACATATTGATCATCTGAATAGAGAAAAAGATGAATTCAATAAAGAAATATCTGGATCTCAGGTACCTACATACAGATTTTAAAAGAAATTAGAAAGATTAGACTTTAAAAAATAAATTCTTATAACTCGATATTATTTAGATAAAGGTCCATCTACTGGAACTACATCGTCGACTAGCAGCTGCAGAAGAGAAACGTGACAATATGAAGAATGAGATGAACAATCGTTTGGATCCACAAGAAGAAAGAGAGAAACTATTACTCCAGGTAAAGACTTAGCTCATAATAAATGGCTTTTAATAAGTAAGTACCGACAGGTATTGTTCTGAATATTGTTTTGCAGGTACGTGAAGACAATGCCGCTATCTCATCCTTAGACAGTAACGCTGCAAATCTAAAGGAACAAATAAAGAAAGTTCAAGAACTAATCGAACAGGCTGAACAGGTACCCTAAAAAAATTCTCACATTTTTCATTTATTATAGTTTTGCATTAATATATAATATAACTTTACCCCAAAATTTATAGGATTTGGAAGAAGGAAATTCTGATCGACATCAAAAATATCGAGAACTAAAGAAAAGAGAAGAAACAATGGATACCTTTATGGCTTCTTACGAAGAAAATCTCAAGAAGGAACAAGAAAAGATTGATCAATTAGAAAAAGATATCGTCTTTGCCTTAGAACATAGCAGTTCTAACATCGATCTGGATTTGAGTGAAATTGACTCGTTGAAACAGAAAGATGGATACACTTCTCAATATGATGATAGCAAGAAATCTGTTGAGATGTTGACTAAAGATTATGAGAGGTTCCAGGCTAACTTGAAGAAGGTAAGAAATTATTTGACTACCCTTTGCATCACCCTTTATTTGTAGTGGAATATCATCGAAAGACTTCTCTCGCCCAGGGTGAGGCAAGACGAAGTGTCAGACTCTTACTGACTAAAATCCCTCCCGTTCCTTCTCCTGCTCTAGCCTAGCCTCCTTGCGCTTAACCCGCAACCCCGAAACCTATCCTACCCTACCTATTCTACTATCCCATGCTATATTATTTTTCTGGTTCTTAGCTAAATTCCCATCGATTCTTAACGAAACGGATTCAGCCATTGTTAAAAATAGTGTTACTAACCCGACTTGCAAATAAAATTGTGGTCTTCACCAATAAAGATGTCTTGACTGTGTATAAAATGTAAAGATGTGTATTATATTACTGTAACAGGCTGAAGCAACTAGGGAGCGTCTCGCCACAGAACTACAAACATTGCCAGAGAAAATGAGAGTCATGAAAGAAGAACTGGTGACGCTGTCGGATTTGGAGAAGCTTCGAGATGAAGGTAGATAATAAAAAAAGAAGGTGATGACGTAATACATTGTTCAAAGCTTTGTACGTAATAATTGTATCTTATATATTCTAGGTGAAGAACAGAAGAAGGCTTTGGAGACGGAACTAAAGCAGCTCAAAGAAAAGTTGGCTCCCACAGAAAGTGCTGTATTAGAGGCGACGAATAAATTGAAAAGCATACAAGTAAGTCATCTATTGTTTAAATTGCGAATTGTAAACTACGTTAAAGGCCCTGCAGTCCCATTAATATTGATGTGAAAACCCGGTAGTGAAGTGAATTACTTTAATACCTACATACATATATTTTTGTTATGAAGTGAAATAGCTTTCTTGCCAGTGTGGTATCCCAAAAATTCTAAAAAGATTTATTTATCATTACCAACACAACTGCCTAAGTAATAACCTGTCTCAATGACTATTTAAATGAGTGACTGAATTTCTCTCGGGCTCTACTAATTTCAATTCATACCGGGACTCTTATTCATGATCAGTGTGCGTCTCGACGACATCGCGCTGACGACGGATGGCACACTATAGTACTATTCAAAAATACCTAAAAATTGTTACAAAAATTCAATAAAATAAAAATGACATCTCATTGTTTTTTTTTTGAGAATTAATAAGCTTTTTTACTTCTTACAGGCCAGTCTAGACGGTAATGAAATGTACACGAAGCTGAACGCGTTGGAAGAACAGTTAGCTCAGCTAGAAACGAGGAAGACGGTTCTAGAAGAAGACATAGCGTCTATAACATTAAAGGCAGACTATGAACCGCTCAAGAAACAAGCTATTGAAGAACTGGCCACCCTAAACAAGAAGATTATTGAGGATTTAAGTAGTATTAAGTCTTATTGATATGTTTGTAGAGTAAATAAAATGTGTTTTCTTTCTATTAAAAGTATTTTATTATAATACCACTGAAATAAAGCGAAGGAAAATATCGTGAGGAAGCACTGACTAAATAAATTTAAAATCGAGAGGGCCACTATCACTGGCGTTTTAGGAGCGTCAGCGTCTCTCGAACGTCTACGTAGCTTCAACGCTGCGCAGACGCATCTGCACATAGCCTCCTCTGTCTACGCATCTGCGCAACGTTAACGTCATCTTTGTTGGCAACAAGTGTAACTAGTCTATTCCATTTGCAAATATTTATAAAATTCCTATTTATTATTTTTAACATTAAAGGACAGTGCGAAATATTTGCTTTTTTGTGATCTATTGGACCCTAAATTGACGATGAGATTTTCTTTTTTTGGGCCAACAGTATAATGCTTCCTTGTCGGAATTCATTATTTTTTATTTTACGCCCCAAACAGCACCACGTGCGCGGCGTTAACGTCGTGCAGCGTCGACGCTGCACTGACGACGTTGACGTCAACGCTAGTAATTCAAACACTATAGGATTTTCTCCTGCTATGCTTATTTATAAATGTTCACACATAAACACCACACCCAGACCCGAAACAATAATTTGTTGTTTTGCGAGGGAAATGAACCCGTCACATGACCGCCGGTTTTGCTCAGCAACCGCGTCAACTGTGCAGTGATTCTAACAAACCAGGTTTCAAAATCACACAACGTATGTAAACAACATTTAGTTTATTACTTCAATAATTTAATATCACAGATGAATTCAAATATTGTATAACAAAACTAGATAATTTACTAACTAAGAAATGCTACACTTTAACGATAAATTACAACCAGTGCGGTTTTAAGGAAAATATGACTGTATAAAGACGTCATTGAGTTCAAATTACATTACGGTTGAATGGTCAAATTGTACGGTACTGGTACATTTTGATACTTTTTTTCAAATCTTAGACAGAAAATACAAAATAATACCAATTAAAAGCGGTTGTAACACCACTTAATAAGGTTCAAAATTATATACTGGATTTTCTAGTTTAAACTATACGTAAGAAACATCGATATCTTATTTCTCAGAACGGAGAAAATCTACATTGACAGTTTGGAAGCACATATACATAAATACTTTTTGATTAATGCCCAGTTCCTATATTTAACGAATCGTCGTTGTATACGCATTACGACCAAATGACATTACGAAGAGTTATCTTGACCGTCTACTGACGGTTAAAATATTTATAGGAAAACCACAGACACCATAGATCTCCATAAAATTCGCTTACCGATATCCGTTAGTTGCAAACCGTCAGTAAGTTGCACGACGAGACGTTTGTTATAGGAACGGTTTTAGCTTACGGGTCGTATATAAAACTACTATTCGTAACTAAAACGGATCGTTTCTCAATTATAGGAACCGGGCATAAATATGTAACATTAACGGCCTTTTTTACTTCACCAAAGAGCTCGATTCATACAAATCACGTTCTATATTTAAAATTGATCTGTTACATAAAGCTAACCAGACAGCAACATTAAAAACCTCAGTCTTTCAATGCATTCTTCTTTTCTTTATTGAGTAACATAGCTAATCCTGCTGGAACGTCTCTATTGTTCGATTTAATCATAGTTATTAAAGTATGTACAAATTTCTGTGATGGCGTAATATCTTGATCTTGCATTCTCGTCCAGAGTGCTAATGCTTCTGTGCAGTTGTCATCGCGTTCTGAAAAAACGGAATAAGAAAGTAAATATTCGTTTTTTTTTCTTCAATAAAGATGATGCCAAATCTAACCTACATTTTTTTCTTGCACTGTATATGCGAAATCGGAATTTAAGTAGGTACAGTATACTCAAACATGTAGGATTTATTTCGAGGGAAACACATGACTTCTCCCAACCTGGGTGGGACAAGAGGGAGTGTCAAACTCTACAATACCGCCAACGTATCTTGGTGAGTCTGAAGTTAGCCGATTAGCAGTACGCAACTTTGTTCCTAAAAGATCCATTGCGCAGACAAACGGCTAACTTCAGACTCGCTAAGATACGGCGGCCATACTGTAACTAACTAAAAACCACCTTTTGCTGCTAGTGACCGCACTAGTAGAGGAAAACGTGTTCTACAGACATTGCCTATCTAACAAGAGGTCAGTTTGACAATGTGTCCAATGAGTCCAATCGTGTGACACTAAACAATTAGCTAATTTACCATTCTTTTTACTATATTTTTAAAACATGTGAAATGTCTTGTTTTTTTCTCACTGCGGCTTATTTTCTTTTTGCATAACTACAAAAGTTAAATATTTTTAAACAAGAAAAAAACGGTAGTGAATACGGTAGTTTCCAACTAGTCAAATTCAATACTTTTATCCAAACGTCAAAAACAATACTTTACTATGAAATTTGTATGAAGAACTGAGCTATGATGTCATAACTTTTTTGCATCAAACAGCTTACTTATTTCTTAATAATTAGCTAAAAAAAATCTAAAATTTTGTGTATCGATCGATCGATGAATGAAATTATAGTTATTTTTTAATATTTTATTGTATTGAAACGTCGAAATAATTTATTTTTGACCTAGGAAACTACCCAATTATTAGGTATTAGAATTTGCGATGCATCAGATCATTGGAACACACAGCCACTGAACTACATTTTTCGCTCTTTGGCAGCAATTTAAAGTAAAAGACAACAAAAAAAACTTACGATGAACATCCAGCATTAAGTCATAGATCTCTATAACGTCCACCCGTCTCAAATCCCTCGCGCACTCAGCGATTACTTCCAAGGCTTTCACTTTCTTCTCGTCAGCGAACCGCTCACAGCGCCTCATTATGGCGTCCGGGTGAATCTTTATTGTTGGGTCTAGGAATATTTTGCGAAGCGTCTTCTTGTAACCTACTTCTGCTAACGCTGATATTATTGTCAGCTGAAAACATAAATCAATATTTATTAGATTACATAAACGAAAAGCCTATTAATTGAAACAAATAAGTGTGGGGCAGTCACGGCTTCGGCACGAATGGGTCAGCCCCACCGGAATGATACCACGGCCTCACAAAAAATCATTCGCCGTGTGAGTAAGGTTACAGAAGACCCAATCCCTAAATCTCCAAATCACCAAAAAGTCGGCAACGCAGTCATAAATCTTCTTTTGGTGCAGATGTCCATGGGCGGCGCTGATTGCTTACCATCAGGTAATTCGTCAAGTCGCTGGAATTCGAATCACTAAAAAAAAATTTTAAAAACTCTTTGTGTAATCTACAAACTGTTGTTCCGGGACTGGGCATGACGTTTATGTCTGTAAACGCACCCAGGACACAGGAAAAAATCCTAATGTGGGCAAACATATTTTATAAACAAGAAACAAAGTAATATATTACCTGTACATCACCCGGACCATGGACCTTCTTGTCAATATTGAGTACTATCTGTGCCAACTTGTTCAATCGTCCATTGCTCTTCTCATTGGTCAAGAAGTTCTCCTCTGATTGGCCGTCGCTCATCGTATGAAGTATTTTGCAAAGTAACTCGTGTTTCAATGGTGTTTTATTGTATTTATTAGCTAGAGCTACGAACTCGTTCACTGCTTCTTGTAAATTATCACTGTAAATAAGAATTTTCATCCAGTTAATGTAAAAATATATTTATTTTTGCAAATAGGCTATAAAACAACACTTTACAATAACATATAAAAACTAGATTATGAGTTTCGTGCGTATATGTGGTGCTGCATGTCCAGTATAGCTAGAAGAGCCATTTAATAAGAAAAACAAAAAAAGAAAATTCTAATAATCCTTTGCCTATGCAGGCTCCTATTTCGGCGACCATCCGACAAAATAGATGAGACAGTCTACTATAATATTATTATTTTATACAAATAGTATTATTTGCATTGTGCACGAAAATAAACTTTATTTCGTTTTGAATAAGACTTATTTTCGCAAATCACATCCTTCCGAAAAAGGAAAGAGGAAGTCTAGTGTGATATTGAATGAAATTTAATTCATCTTGCACAAAAATAAACTGTATTTCCTCTACGAAAAAGAGTTATTTTCCTTAAACACAGAACAAAACTTACTTTTTCAAGTGCACTCGTATTAACGGTCCCAGCATGATGTTACTAGGCTTACAGTACTTATTATCGACTAGTAGGTCGAACATTTTTCTAACTTCTACGTGAGAACCTTGGGCTGCCGTCGCGTCGAGGAGTCGCCAACAATTCATTGCTATGCCTCGCCCGCCTATAACGTTTCTGGAAATAAAATTATATTTTTATTACCACACGTGAACAAAAGTTCCCTTTAACCTTTCAAACGTGGTAATTCGAGACAAAATAGAAAATCAATAGGTTTGCGTGCGAAAGCCGGCGTTCGCTTCGGGTTTTATGAATTAAGGTGGAGTTTCTCTAGGAAATGTCAGATTCTTACTGATAAAGAACCACCCTCTTCTAGGCCAAGGCCGCGGTCCATTATTGCGCTTGCCCCGCAACCCCGGCCTGAACTTTAACCCTGTTGGGCCCTGTCTGTGGTGGTCTCTTTAATGTGCGATTGGTACCGTACCAAAGTAAGAAAAGGAGAATCCGCCATCCACATTTTAAACCAATGAAATGATTTATTTTGCTTCACATACACAAATTGAACGTAGATAAATAAACATTAAAAATGAATACAGCATAGCAAGGGATCCGTCTTAGTATATGCTGTGCTTATGCACAGCACTAATTTTCAGGTGGCACCTGACTGTTAACATACACATCTGTGCGCACAAGAAATTAAAATAAATAAAGTTTTATAGTATTTTATAGGTTTAGACAAACAAGCATACAGAAGCATACAGATTGTACCGTTTGAGTACAGAACTCTAAAAAAATCAAAAATCGAATACGAAAACTGCATTCTTATCTTACCTCTTTTTAGACTGCTGGGTAATCAAATCGAATGCCTGGCCAATCTTCTTTCTGTAGACCATGAGAGTGGCAAAGTCTATAACTTTATACTCGTCCAGTGTGAAGTTAGGTGAGGTCTTGTTGAGGTCCGCTAGTGCTATCTCAGCGAGGTCCAGCTCACCGAGCTTGACGTGAAGATCGAATATCGCCGCTTTCATACCAGCAGACAGGAATACCTGGAGATGAAAATGATAAAAAATAGAAACAGATCTAAGCTTGACCTACATTTTGTGTACCTCTACCTCTTATTTACTACAATAAAGGCGTGGTATTATTTATTTATACCTTATTTTTTTAACTACATATTGACAGAAATTTACAATAACGAAAAAAGGGGCTTATAGCTATAGAGGGCGCAATGGACGGCCTTATCACATTTTTTCCAAACAACATTTGGATAGAAGAAATCACTCATATGTATGTCTGATTATTCTTGTAATTGATTTACAAGTTGGACTTGTCTCAAATTCAGTCTTTTTTTGTCAGGGGAAAATCATCAAATGACTTCTCCCGCCCAGGGAAGGCGAGAGGGAGTGTCAGACTCTTACTGACCAAAAACTCCCCCGTTCCTTCTCCTGCTCTGGGCCGAGGTGGCGGTGCCTCATTGCTCTTAACCCGTAACCGTCTCAAATTGAGTTTTAGAATATGACTTTTGCTTTAAACGGCGGTATTCCTTTAAATAGGATGATAAAACATAAAACTCGACTAGTTTCGTATGTCAAGAAAGCATTGAAAGGAAGATATCACCGCATAGTCCAATTCTTCCTCGACCCCCATTCCTCCCCAATCCCTAAATCTCCGAAACCCTAATCTCAAAAAGACCGGCAAAGCACTAGCAACTTCTCTGATGTTGCGGATACCCCACAAAAGTGTTGGTCGGCGCCGATTGCTTGCCATCAGGCAATCCGTCTGCTCGTTTACCATCCTATGGCATAAAAAATGGTTGGCGCAGTAGCTATGACTCTACCCTCTTTCGATACGAGAACGCTACAATCCAATAACGTCAATGTGTCATATTTCTGCCTCTTTTAACACTCACCCCTTCCTTCTGACACTTGGCAGCAATATCCCTGGCTGCATGCAGATTTCCATCTCTGCAGTATTGCTGCAGTAGCTTCCTGAGTGTACCTCTGGTGTTCATGCCCTTAGCTTCCAACTCCGACAAGTGAGCGCGCAAATTCTCCTCGTTCATTTGTTTCTGGAATATTAAATGATTATCTATTTATTTATTTATACACCAACTTACATTTACGGCTTACACCACACATATAAGTTATAGGCTAACATATATAAAAAAAATACAAACTATACAGAAAACTTACAAACATAACATTGACAAAATTATCTTATCTAAATAGTTTAGTTTTTAAAAACGAGTAACGATAGAGTTTCTTGCTCGTTTTTCTCCATTCGAATTTACAATACGGTTATGGTTTTTATGTTTGCGTCAAAAACTCTACTTATTTCTTAAAAATTAGCTAAAAAATCGACAGATCGATAAATAATTATTTTATTGATTTGAAATGTCGATTTCATTTATATTTACCTAGGAAACTACCCTATTCGGAACTCGCATCTATCTTCACTGACGAACAGACTGCCAAACTTTGGTTTTGAGACGGATTTATGGTTTAGTTGAAATAAATAACTTCAACTTTGACGTTTTTGGTTGTTTTTAGTTTCATTCGTAAAAACGTGGAATAAAATTGAAATAAAAATGTTGGGGACTACTCGATCGCAAAACCCAACGAATACTTATCGAAAATATTAAAATTAAAATTAGATAAATAAGTTTAATTATTAATATCAGGCATGTAGCAAGACAACTAACGAATTATATAACTTACAGGATGCGGTAACTGTTGATCGAATATATCACCGTCATCTACTAGCCGTTCATCCGTCAATGCAATGATTTTGTCACGAAACCGATCTGCCACGGCATTCCCAAACTTATCAGGATAACGGGACAGGCAGAAGTCTGCGGCTACTGTGGAGATCTTTAGCGAGCTCTTTTCTAGATCCTGAAAAACAAGAAATTGAGTGTTAATAACATCATGGACAAACAAAGTAAATAGATACAGTCAAGAATTTATGGCATATATTAAAATAACTATCGCAAGACAACAAATTAATAAAAATTTAAACTTTTCGAGCAAGCTCGACTACTTTCAATCTATACCGGAGCCCAAAAGGCTCTCTCAATTTCTCACACGGAAAAAATGTGAGCATTAATCACAACACTTGCTAAAAGCTGGTTAACGATTTCAAACTTATTTTCAAAAAAAATAAGGTTTTTTTTTAAAGTTACCTCTCACTAGTATTTTTTCCTGTGTCGTGGGTGCGTTTACAAAAATATTTCACATACACTTGACAGTTGACACCCAGACCCGCAACAACAATTTGTGGATCACACAAGAAGTTGTTCTGTGAGAGAATCGAAACCGCGACACGTTGCTTGGCAGCCAGCCACCACACGAACCGTGCAGTCAAATCTCCCTTGCATTTTTTTTCTTGAACATATATTTTATACATAAATAAATAAATAAGTGAAGCGAATCTCACCTTTAACAAATTTAAAACATCAGTGATATCACTATTCACTTTCGGATGTACCATAAACTTGCATAGGAACCTGCCGACCCAGTCTTTGTTCTTCTCAATGGACCTGGCTGATATGTCTTCGAGAGTATGTATGGTAGCAGTAACGTCTGTGCTGATGAGGTAACCCTTTAGAAGAGGTTTCAACAGTTTTTCTGTGTCAACTTTCCCTTGAAAGAGTTCGCCTGAGAAAAGAGAATTGATTGGTTTTCTTTTTTCTTCTTTTTAGTAAGAAAGCGATGAGTTTGACAACTAGATCAAGATGCTACGGGATTTTTTCAATCTACAAATTCGTCGGTAATGACTAATAGTATAAATCAAAGACGCTTTCTCTGTCCCTATATCCCTATGTATGCGTAAATCATTAAAACTACGCAACGAATAATGATGCTGTTTTTTAATATACCTATAGAGTGATTAAAGTGGAAGGTTTATATTATGTTTAATAACATCCATTTTCAAACACCAATGTCAAATTCCAATAGCAACTTGATCCGAGAACACAAATAATCTTCAGCCTACAGGACTTAAAACGACACCAGCGCCTCTAGCAGCAACTTCAGAAACTATTTATCCTCAAATATAAAACTCACACAATTCACTAGCCGCTCTAACTTGTCCAGTATTCAACAAAGTCTGCATCATCGGCGTCAAGACAGTCGATACTGTAAGTCCAGTTTCAATGAATTTCTTCATTAAATTCTGTGGTGATGTGAAGCTGACGTATGGTAGGGTGTAGTCCATTATGGTGTCGTAGTCTGGCTTGACGTCCATCTGTACCATTGTTGTTAGAGCGTTCATTATACCTGAAAAAGGATAATTACGTTTCATATTTCATAGTTGTTACGACGCCAATGACGGCTTACGGCGACGAATCCATATTAATAATATAGAAATTTAATTAAAAATGATTTAAGGCTATCATAGGAGACCAGTAGAGGGTAATATCGCTCGGGTGTAGCTAATTTAAAATCAATTAGCTAGCAAATATTAAAGCGAGAGAGCCATGCATAGACTTAAATGGGCCAGATCAACCAGACTGATGACTCAACCTAACAGAACACCGGAGTAAAATAAACGTATCACCATGCGAGTTAGGATACTAGAGGTTTTATCCCCGCCCCTCCAATTTTTTTCGAAATCCTTAAATCCTTATAGCCCCAGTAGTAACGCACTTGTTATCACCCTCTGGTCTATAGACTGTTTGCTTACTATCATGTGATCTATTTGCTAATCTGCCAAATCAATTGAATGCTTGTAAAACTACACAGATGTGTTTAAAAATAGACAAAATGTAACACAGAATGCACTAAGTTCGATCCCTTCATAATTCTCTAAAGAAATCTACATACCTTTTTCGCCATAAGTCTTCGAGTTATGAAGTAAAATGGGCCAGAAGTAATGTGACCGGAGTGTTATCCCAAGTTGTTTCATCCTAGTCATTAAGTCCAATGCTAAAGGGACTTTGCCCAACTGTAGGGCAGCTTCACAAGCATTTTGTAAAGCTATCGGATTACGACCCGATGACATCAGCTCTTGCGTTATTAGGCCTATTATGCTTGACGGCTGGAAAAAAATAAAATATTTTTGTTTGGCAATTATTTAGTTGAATTTCACCCGGTTTCTGAAAGGCATGTCAACGCTAAAATTAACTTATCTCCTGTTAAATCTCTTGTCAAGTCATCTGATTGGTTGTTGATAATTCCGTCAACCAATCAGATGACTTGATTAGAGTCAAATTGATTTTAACATGATCGGCCTTTCGGAAACCGGGTGTAAGTCTTTTTTTGTTAAAAATTTGATTTTTATGGTGGCAACACTTATATCGAAAAATAAGACCTATTGTTTGAAACTTTTAAACGAAAAACTACAGAATGGATCTGAATGAAATTCGCCATAGGAAATATAGTCTGGAATAACACATGGGCTAGCTTTTTTGCCAGCAGCTTCAAAGGCAGCGCCAAAATGTAGAGTTTTTATGGTGGTTTCATAACATTTTGAGAATAGATGCACTTTAGTTAAGTCCTGGGAATAACATTAAAAAAGTGAGATTAAGGGAAAATTCCACATTATAAATTACCATAGAAGCCTTCACACAGTCTCGCACCAAACTCCGGCCATGCAAGCCCTGATCATCCTTTGGTCCAAACGAGGGTAAAGGTAGGCATTTATAAATTTCCAACGCAGCCAGTGGATGATTTTGGAACACAAGTAGAGTAGTAACACTTTGCATCAACGGAGTTATTGATGGAGACTTCAAAATTTCTTGTGGTAAGTAATTTAGAACCTGAAAGTGATTAAGAGAGAACACTTAAAAATTAATATCCATATTTAATATTAATTTAAAACAATTTAGCCAGTCATTCAAAACAATAATTCTTCTACCCTGGATAGGTGAAAGGCAGAGTCACTTTTATTGACTAAAAACGATTCTGTTCCATTTTTCTTATTGTCGCGATATATCATTGCGCTGGCGGGTGCCAGCAAGTAGCCTAAGGTCTCAAGCAGGTCTAGGTCAGAAGGGGTTTCAGAGAGTTAAGAATACCACTCTACCTAGTCTTTTTCCTCAGAATACAGAACAAACCAGAATCCGCGTTCACTCATAATTGCATGTTGTCAAATGTGTCCAAAAACATTACGTCAATCCCCCCGCCAGCCGCACTTTCCACCCGCGTAGTGTTGCCGACAGTGGAACAATTCCCTTGGTTTGGGGTAATTTTACAACAGGAGGGTAAGACATATTTTGTTGGGTAAACCCAAAAAAAAATAGGTAATCTTACGATAAATGCAACAGACTAGTTATTCACACATTTCATGGAGGTATCATAAAAGTTGACGATTTCTAACTGTGTTAATTTTAGTTACACCTACTATACACAACAAATAAAACAAAGCTTCAATAAGTAAAAAGGTTTTATTGCGTTCCCTTTTGCTGGTTAAGTTTTTATAATATGTAATGTTGTTTAGACTCGGAACTAAAACAAAAGTCTACTTACTTTTATTAGTTCCTGAGATTAGCGCATTCAAGCAAACAAACAAACAAACTCTTCAGCATTATAATTAGTATAGATATACCTTAGTAGGAAATGCTGTTTTCAAACTACCCTTGTCATAAATATATCTCTTCAAAGTGAATTGAGCAAACTATGCTCTGGCTAGATCGTTTCCAAAATTAATCTAACCGTGCCCTTTGTATGATTTTTTTTTTGTTACATAGACATAGGCTCCATGATGGACAAAAATATAACTCACAAAAAATAAATAAGTGGGTAAAATTTTCACCAAAAATGACAACACTCACAAAATGGCCGCATCATTTCCATAGAAAAATAAATCGATATAAAAAATTAAATAATTAATTAAATATACTATTGCAGTCGATGCTTGCAGATGAAATGTAATCTTATCCACATTTTTCATTATTCCAGACGCATTTTTATTCGTAGGAATAACACAAGACGGCATAATGAAATTAAAATTGATACTCGTAAATACGTCACGACATACCACGTGCCAAAATTGACTGATCGTAGAAATTTCATACTACTCTAGTTAAGAGTGGTTTTAGTTGCTTCAGTTTGAAGCGCGTTGACGCCTTCTGGTTTGTTCTGTATTCTGAGTCTTTTTCCCCAAAAAATTTCAAGGTGCAGTATCCAATTATTAAATTGGCAAAACACACAAAGCTTTGCAGACATGGCTATTACAAAATATGATAACATAGCCCACATATAGACTTCATCAAGAATAAAATTTATTTGTATGATACAAACCTTTGGTATTGGCTGATATAATCCAACGACAGCCAAAGTCTTTACAATTTCCATAATGTGAGCTTCAGTGAATTGTAACCCGTTCTTTACTGCAGCATCCATTTCCTCTATAACAGCTTTAGACTTCTTGTTCCATGCTAGAGCCCTAGCGGTGGCTGTGTATGTGTCAATTGAAGGACTAACATTGAGAGACCGCATCATCGTCAATACTTCTTTTATGTTTTTGACGTTACTGGAAATAGAAAAGCACAAGTAAAGAAACTTAAATTTCGAAAAATAAAGTCATTGGAAGCTTATGTTTTGCAATTCTTATATAACTTTTGAGTTGTTGTAACTTGTCATAGAGATAATTTAAAAACTTCATCCAAAGACTGTGTATTACAATACAAGACCATTTATGTAATAGATTTTTGTAGTATATCATATGTAATTCCCATACACATTCCTACACAGTCTCCCATTTCCCAATAATCAAACCTTACAAAATAGTTGCAACACACATTTTATGTCACAAATGTCTTTGGATGGAACTAATTGATTAGATGATATGCCTGTTTGTCCATCGCATTATGTGAAGCAAAAATGTTTTTATATGGTATACAATTAATAACTGGCTGAGAGACTACTGGGTTGCTTGACATAAGGCACAGGACATTTAATTTAATAAAAATAATGGTAATCCATAAACATTCCATATACACATAAATTGACTTAAGCCATTACTTACCCTGCCTTTCCTTGGCAAACAATAAGAGAATTGAATATACTTTCAGTAGCTGGCAGCCCTTGGGCCTTCATGTTGGATATCACCTCTGTCGCTTGGTTCAGATCACCAGCCTAAAAATAGAAATAAAAAAAAGATATAATTAACATTTTAGAAATTATTCGTCACATTTAAATTGGTATTTTCTTTGATAGACATTAATATATATAAATTCTGTCAAATAGCATAGGAAATAAAAGATTTTTTTCTTATATGCCAGTACTTTTCAAATCATGATTTCATTTAGATTTTTCTTTCTATCACAAAAAGTTGTAATCTAATTTGAGCTTAGATTTTAGGCTTAGAATCGAAAACCATTATGCTGTGATATAAGCAAAGATAAGTTAATATACACAACAAGCTACAATTTATTTAAAAAACCCATTATATAGGCTGGTATAAGTTATTATAAACAAGGAACTAAAATTTATTCTAAAATTGTATGAAGGTCTTCTAGTTTTAAATAGCACAACTCCGGTTGTTTCTGGCTTGGTGTCCAACACCAGTTCACTTTACTATGTCTCACAATAGCGACTATACTAAAACAAATGAGAAAGTGAAACCATACCCCTAAATAAGTCATCGCTGTAGCTCAGGCCTGAAGGCTTAAATCTATAGTACTGATTTTAAGCTTACAAATATAAAAACTAACCTCTCCAAGGGCTCTTAGTATAAGTTCATAAGTTGTCATGGTGGGTTTAGCTGGTGTCATCTGATTAATAAAGTTGCTAACTGTAATAGTCCTATTGTTTGCTATGTATACCTTCAAGAGTTCATTGTAATGTTCAACTTCAAACTTTGTGTGAGACCTGTAAAGTATATATAATACATAAGTATAATAGGAAGTAAATATATAAGTATAATAGTAAGGAAATATATAAGTATAATAGGAAGGTTTTAGTATACATAAAACTTCTTTATCCAAAGGGATGACAGAGGTGTGAAAATTAAAAAATCTATTTAATTTTTAAAGGATTGAATTTTTATTTTTTTTAATAATGACAAAACTATCCAAACTAATATTATAAATGCGAAAATAACTCTATCTGAATTTTCTTCATGCCTAAAATACTGAACCTATTTGTGTGAAATTAGGTACAGACATAGTCCGGAACTCGGGAAAGGACATGATAGTTTTTAAAACAAAAAACTGCAAGAAGAGACTATTCCACACAAACAAAGTTGCAGTAAAAGCTAATACTTTGATAAAATGAAGTGAGCGCAGGCTATGCTACCACAAAGTAAAAAATATAAGTTTATCACACAATATTACAAACCAAATTATTATCTTGCGAATAAGTATGTAAAAGACATTTATAGAAGTTATTGTATTTCGAGTAATAATTATGAATTAAAAGTATAGTATTGAGTAAACAGCTTACTGTATGGTAGTCCAAACTTGTTCAAGCAACTCCATCCTGCTCGATGCCGATTCATCTGGCAATAAATCACTGCAACATCGAATCAAAAGCAAGCCTTGCTTCTTGGTTGAAAAGTTCAATTCTTTCACTTTAGTTAGTACTCTTACTAAGTCATTCTTATACACTCTATTCTTTTGGAATATATCTGTGTTTAACGCTGCAATGTATTTTTCAAGTACTTCTTCTGAAGATATAGCCGGTTTGTTAACTTTATCTTCAACTAACGTGTTCTGGGATATCTTAGGGGAATGTCGTACTTCTAATTTTTTTTCAGCATAACTTAAACACGAATTTGTTGATAGCGGTCTGAAAAAACAAATACATAAAGTAAAACTAATTTATAAAATAATTAAATGAGAAAAACTCATTCTAACCTAGTCGCTCGAATATTACAAGAATTATATAAACAAGGACTTAATAAACGGTTTCTATCCAGCATATAATTATTGTACAACAGCGATTTTGAAGCACGTGCAATTTTAATGTATTGTCGAAATAACATTTTTATTTATTTTGTAAAATTCAATTTTTTATTTTTCGATTTCTAAAATCTTATCTTCAAAATATAATTTGACATAATCGAAATGATTGCCATTAAAAAAATGTATATAGGGATGACCTCATGAAGAAAAGAGGTCTTCCAAAAATGTTCCTAACTGCAGAAATAAGCTGTTGAATGTAAAAGAAAATAATCTGCGTAAGTGATTCGGCTAATTCACGTGTAGCTTGTAACGCTAATTAAGAGTAGAGTTCTGAAAGGAGGTGTGAAAGAATCAAGTCTAGTCATTTCATAGTTCTTCTGACGTCGAAATGTTTTCTCTACTCGTTTTCTACTCTTTCACGAAGCCACAAGACATTCGTTTTCAACAAAAATCAAACAGTACAGTACGAGATGAGAAAGTACTTAAAGTAACTACCAGTGTGCAAAGTGTGCCAGAATATGATAGAGCGCTGCGCTCTGGCTTGACTTGAAACACAAACATTGTACTTTATTGCTTTTATGATAACTTTGATCTGTATTATACTTTGAATTATTTAACGTTAAAGATAATACAGAACAGAAGATATTTAAAAATAACTTATTATATTGAAAAACATTCTTTATAAGCCAAGGTGCCTTAATATTCATAGTCTTTTATTAGTGTACAATAAACAGCACCATAGCATCTGTTCTCTACTATTTCGACCTATTTAAATCCCATAATAATGCGTAAGTATATTTAAAATGTGTTGGAGAGCCATAGCTCGGCACGAATGAGCCGGCTCTACCGGATTGATACTTTGCCCTTACAGAAAAGTGGCGTGAAACTCCCACATCCTTGTCTTTTGAAATGTTATCGGAGGTTGTAACCTACATATGTTTTGATACTGTTCGTCCTTTATTTACTTCCGATTATTTTCTGGCTCAATTAGGGACTAAAACCTTGATTCGTCAATTGTATTGTTTACTAAAATATATATTTTTATAAAATTATAAAGTGTATATTATTGATATTGACTTTATAATTTTCACCTAACTTAATACTTATATTTTTTCTGTAATTGCTTTATATGACTGCAAAACAGGAATAAGGTAATGCACTTCAGAAAACTGTTTTACTAAATCGACCTAGTAAGAAACAATTCAATATTTTTTCTGTTATTTGAGCTGCTTATTTTGAATTGGGGCTTATTTAAAAAATAATACGAGACCGTGTTCCTTGAGTGCAAATAGACTTATGCTCAAAATTTGTGATCACTTCATGATGTTGGTGGTTCTGCGTCTTATTACTAACTTCAGTCAAGTTCGTTACGTGGCGCTAGTATCGAAGCGAGTGACTGTCTGACATTGTCTGTCAAACAGAATCGTGATTCGTGGATGCCAAGTGTTTTGTGTTGTGAGTGAATGTTGAAAATTGATGTAATCTATCGTTGTCATGTGGTAAGTATTCATTATTATCTAAATTACTTCATAAATAGATCCTCACGATCTACTAAAGCCACTGATAAGCGATATAAAGTTTGATGATTTGAAGTTGAAGCCGCCGTTACTTGACCGCCATCGCCCAAGCTTGTCGACGGTCGGCTCGGCTCCGCCTTTGCAGTAAAACGTGACATTTATGACAATTCTCGTAATATTACACGGAAATCCACGTCGTCTTCGACATAACAGACTATAACCCTTATAATTAAATTTACTTACAGTAGCATAACCTTGTAAGAATTTGTATATTCTCAAGACTCGTAACCAGTTTCCAGTAGCGATGTTAATAATGCCGACTTCCCGCCGATGAATCACTACAATATGTGTTGATATTGTACATGGGGAAAGTTTAGATTTATAATTAATTAATAAAACATTATTCATGCAGTTTTATAAACTTGAAATTGGTATACTTTTAGTGCCTGTATGGAAAATAACTTTTTGTGCGTTTACATGTAAATTACTTAGAATTTGAATTACTTAGTTATTTACATACATTCCAAATAATTGTCAAAGACTTGTCCTACTGGTTTTTATGAATGACAATCATAAAAACTGATCATATGATGCAACTGAACAATATTAGTACTGAAAACATTTAAGAGAGTGACTTTGAACCCTGAAGGCAGATTCCTGAATTAAATTGTAAGGAGGTTATCATATCACCAATCTGCAAAATAGGTCATAGGACATTGACCTTTAGATTTGGTCAGTTAGTAGCAGTAGCATCAGTAACATCACATTTCATTGACTTCTGATGTGGTATTTATTTAATTACTGTTTATTTTTATTTTTGGCAAATAAATTTTATCAAGTATAAACTTTTTTCGTAAATAAATAATGTTTATTTTGTTTATTAAAGAAGTAACACAGTGATTGAACTATGCTGTAACTTACAGTAACCAGAAGTCTAATGTGAATAAAATACTCTTGAAAAAGAAACCTTGTTTAAACCATCTATGGATATATCTACTTTAATGCCTAGTTTATAGAAATTCTATCATTAATAAAACTTATATAATTAATAAAACTCTCCACCATTTAAAAGGTGTTATTATACAATACATATATAAACATTCATCCTCAATCACTTTATTAAAAAAACTCACATCAAAATCTGTTGCATAGTCTTAAAGATTTAAGCATAAATAGGGATATAGGTTCAGAAAAAGCAACTCTGTTTAGTTCATACCATGTAGTTATTGTTTATTAAAAAAGGTACAAACCAAGCAGGCTTTTTTTTCTAAATTCTTATAATAAGTGAAGTAAGTGTTTAGTTTTTACATATTGGTCACAATGTAAAAAAATAATAACTGCTTTTAATATTACCACACCAACAAAAAAAGTATTATTTTAGGGGAAAAATTGGTAATATTATACTGATAAGAGTTATTCTGTCAGTATTTTCCGTAACTGGATGATTATACTAGAACAATAATAATTTTAGACCACAATCTCAGTTTCAAATAGTAGAAATGAAATCAGTATGAAGCTCTCAGGTAACAAATAATAGCTATCAAATAGTTGAATTGTATTTTTTATTGTCAAAGTCACAAAAAAAGGTTACCTACAAACCTTTATGAAAAAAAACTTTTATATTAGTCTTGATAAAAGTTTGCTTTTATATTTTAACCCTAACCTTTTGAAATGCCTTGCTGTCGTAATAAATCGAAGAGGACAGTTTCGAAATGGCCACTAATATTGAGATTATACTATTACTATTACATTCCCTAATTCTTATTTAATGGAAATTCACATAAATCTGTGTGCTTACACATCGAACTCAATAAAGTTTTCTCAAGGTCGTTCACGTTTTTGTATTGAAGAATTATTTAACTGTTTGTACAATTTCGAAAACACTAATACAGGATTCGAAACGGAAATTTCTCTCGATTCTTTTGCTTCTCACAATTTCCATCATTCATAATATGCATCATTCATAATATGCATCCAGAAAGTCAGTCAAAAATCCTCAATACGAGACGAGGGCTGCATATAAAGAGAAACACGACAGCGTAGCTTGCCTATCATCGATTCATACAAGATCGGCTAACGTCAATGTCGCGGTATTTATTAGCGGCAGCCTACCGAATCGACATCGTTCGACATTCGATACTATGAGTCCCTCACCCTGGGTCAACGAAGTGAGAATTGACGCCAATTAGCCAGCTTCACGTCCACATGTGACCGCCGAACTGTTCAATTTGCTTGAGAAACATGTGCCCAATGTGCCCGCCATTGCGTAATAAAAATGGCGTTGCTAAGAAGGGGCATTACACGTTTCGGCTTTTGTGATCCAGAATTCGTGTTCAGATATGAGATGACATTATTATTTATCCCGTTCGAAAGGTCGACGTCTCGTTAAAGCTACATGGGGTATTATTGTTGCTAATGGTGTTTACTACTCCCAACCAGCTGCGTCTTCTACTTGTTCTGATTCAAAATCTATACTAATATTATAAAGAGGTAAAATTTGTAAGCTTGTATGTAGGGGGTAATCTTTGGAACCGCTGGCCGCATTGCCAAAATTCTTTCACTGATAGATAGCTACAAGGTTCCTGAGTGCTATAGGCAAAACATCACCTACGATTAAATGGAGCCGAGCAGCAGGTGAAACCGCGCGAGAGTAGCTAGTCTAATATAAATAACACAAACTTGCATTGTTTAGGCTTAAAGTACTATAGAAATGATGTTTAAAAAATACAACAGTAAAGGATATCAATTTAACAAGGAATGCCTGGAAAGTAAACAATAAAATATTAAGTTGTACGTTGGGGTGAAGGGGCGTACGAACTACGCCACCTAATAACGGACTGAACGTTGAACTGTTTAAAAATTTAAATGTACGGGTAGTTGCTACACGTGCATATCGATTAACATTACTATTTAAAGGTTTCCTTTAGCAAAAAGTGTTTCTTAGACACGTAACTTTTTAATAGTTAAATTTCTGATATCAATGGAAAGTTCAAGAAACTCGAAACTCCTTCGACGGTGTCTCGTTTGGATGATGACATTACGCCATTACCGCCTTCCGTACCTTCCCTTATCGGTATAAATAGATCAGAACATGATGTTCCACGTTTCGGTATCAAATAATTAGAATCGGAAGTCGTTAAAATAATTCATGAGAGCTCTCGTAAATTCAGGAGCTGTTTGAAGAGCGTCTTGCCTTGGCATAACTTCTTCATTTTAGTGGAAGCTTGTTTTTAAAGTTCTGGTTGGTTCAAAATACCGTTACTTAACACATGTTAGGTATAATCTTATCTAGAGGGGTATATTATAGAGGCGTTTGAAAAAATAATTAAGTAATTTTCTCAATAAAAATTTCCGACTTCGCTGAATTCCATTTTCAAGTCTTAACAGAATTAAATTCGTCTTGGCAGAAACAAATTCAAACAAGATGCTCAGATGTTTCTAGCCATAACTAATCTTTAAAATATCACTTCGCCTGAACAAATCGAAATTGGAAGGTTTCTATTCTAAATCTGAAAATAAGTTTTGATCCATCATGGCTGTCAAAGGCGTCACGTCCTAAACACGAAATGTAATTAAAATTAATTAGTGTACGTCGAAGATAACGTAAGACCGAACTATTCATCACCACTTAGTGCGACCCTCAAACAGTTTTGTAAGCACTCTGCCTTATCAGTTCCTTGTTAGCGTTGTGATAACATTATTTTTTGAACCTTGTACGCTAAAAACGTTTACGGAACATTTACCCTTCATAACGCTATAAATCTCGGTTTTTTTATATAATCTTGTTTGATTACATCATCATTTAGGTTTTAATTCTTAAAAGTTTTCTTTCTTTTGTGAATCCTCGAGAACTGGCAATTGATCTACTGTTATGATTATAACTGCAAAGGGTTCCATTAGATGTTCTATTTCATATTTTAGTTTTCCTGGAAGGAGGACGTATTGCAGAAGACCGTAATTACATATTTCCAACATAGGGCACAATTAAAATGTATCTTCTTCTGTAAAAAAAATATTGAAAAGTACATTAGTCGGCTGCTTAGTCGGTCGCGATGACGACAAGCACGTGGCTCAGGTAAGAGTCCCACTGTAAATTGAAACCAGTCGAGCTTTTCTCAGTTTATTCAGGTTAATAAGTCATTATTAAAAAAAAACATTATATAAACATTCATTTGAACATGTTAAGCCTACTACTACCTATAATAATATTATATTATAAAAACGAATCGCGAAATGTGTTAGTAAGCGCATAACTCAATAACGACAAGTTTCACGATTCCTTTTTTTTGTTATGTACCTTATTGTTAGCAAAAGGTTCTAACTAAAGAAAACTGTAGAGAAGTAAAGGAGCATAGCAGGAATAAACATCACTACGGTGCCGGGGCCGTTAGATGGCAAAACAAATGACTGATACCGGAGTAGTCAGATACCCGTTTTTTTTGTGAGGGGAAAATCATCACATGATTTCTCCCGCCCAGGGCCGGGCGGGAGGGAGTGTCAGACTCTTACTGACTAAAAACCCCCCTGTTCCTTCTCCTGGTCTGGGCCGAGGTCGCGGTGACTTATTGCGCTTACCCCGCAACCCCGGCTGAACTCAGATACCCGTGCGAAGCAAATCAGTAAAGCAAATCATTGTAATTACTAGCAAATCAAAGAAAGTAGGTTAGTTAGCTATGTATTAATAATCTTATCATCTACATGTAGCATTTGTTACGCACTATTGCGAACTATGTTCGTGACATTATTGATGTATGTGGCTTCCTAAGCTTGTACCTTGATCAGCTCGTGACTTATAAATAACATTTTTATTCCCCTTTGTCTTCCGATCTACTCGTGTAAGAATAAGACGTTACAATATCTAGATTCTTTAGCGAAAATAAATTATTTTTGTCGATCTGTTATTGTGCCAAAATAAATAGTTCTATTTTATTTACGCTTCATTGTATAATGAAAGCGACAAAATGCCTTAGGGTATCTTGTAA